TTCATCGCAATACAGGCTCACCTCACTAAACAAGAAAAAGCTCACATAAGCAACCTCAAACGACACCTAACAGAACTAGAAAAAGAAGAACAAACAAAGCCCAGAGTCAGTAGAAGGAGGGAAATAATAAAAATAAGAGCAGAAATAAACGATATTGAAACAAAAAAGACAATAGAAAGGATCAATGAAACAAAGAGTTGGTTCTTCGAAAGAATTAACAAAATTGACAAATCCCTAGCCAGACTCACCAAGAAAAGAAGAGAGAAATCGCAAATTAATAAAATCAGGAATGACAGAGGAGAAATCACAACAGATACCAATGAAATACAAGAGATCATAAGAGAATATTATGAAAAACTATATGCCAACAAATTGAACAACCTGGAAGAAATGGACAAATTCCTAGACTCCTACAATCTCCCCAAACTGAATCAGGAAGAAATGGAGAATCTGAATAGGCCAATCACAAGTAAGGAAATAGAAACGGTAATCAAAAACCTCCCCAAAAATAAGAGTCCAGGACCAGACGGCTTCTCTGGAGAATTCTACCAAACATTCAAAGAAGACTTAATACCTATTCTCCTCACTAACACATTCTATGAAGCCAACATCACTCTGATCCCCAAACCTGACAAGGACAACACAAAGAAGGAGAACTACAGGCCGATATCACTGATGAACATAGATGCAAAAATCCTCAACAAAATTTTGGCAAACCGAATACAGCAATACATCAAAAAGATTATACACCATGATCAAGTGGGATTTATACCAGGGACACAGGGATGGTTCAACATCCGCAAGTCAATCAACGTGATACACTACATCAACAAAATGAAAAACAAAAATCACATGATCATCTCAATAGATGCAGAGAAAGCATTCGACAAGATCCAACACCCCTTTATGATAAAAACCCTCAGTAAAATGGGTATAGAAGGAAAGTCCCTCAACATAATAAAGGCCATATATGATAGACCCACAGCCAACATCATACTCAATGGACAAAAACTGAAAGCCATCCCTCTGAGGACAGGAACAAGACAAGGGTGCCCACTTTCACCACTCCTATTCAACATAGTACTGGAGGTGCTGGCCAGAGCAATTCGGCAGGAAAAAGAAATAAAAGGAATCCAAATAGGTAACGAAGAAGTAAAACTCTCGCTGTTTGCAGACGACACGATCTTATATATAGAAAACCCCAAAGAATCCATAGAAAAACTATTAGAAATAATCAACAACTACAGCAAAGTAGCAGGGTATAAAATTAACGTACATAAATCAGTAGCATTTCTATACACTAACAATGAACTAACAGAAAAAGAACTCAAGAACTCAATCCCATTCACAATCGCAACGAAAAGAATAAAATACCTTGGGATAAACTTAACCAAGGAAGTGAAGGATCTATACAATGAAAACTACAAGACTTTCTTGAAAGAAATTGACGACGACATAAAGAGATGGAAAGACATTCCTTGCACATGGATTGGAAGAATAAACATAGTTAAAATGTCCATACTACCTAAAGCAATATACAGATTCAACGCTATCCCAATCAGAATCCCAAGAACATTCTTCACAGAAATTGAACAAACAATCCTAAAATTCATATGGGGCAACAAAAGACCGCGAATTGCTAAAGCAATCCTGAGCAAAAACAAAGCCGGCGGAATCACAATCCCCGATTTCAAAACATACTACAAAGCTACAGTGATCAAAACAGCATGGTACTGGTACAAAAACAGGTCCACAGATCAATGGAACAGAATTGAAAGCCCAGAGATAAAACCACACATCTATGGACAGCTAATCTTCGACAAAGGAGCAGAAGGCCTACAATGGAGAAAAGAAAGTCTCTTCAACAAATGGTGCTGGGAAAACTGGACAGCCACATGCAAAAGATTGAAAATTGACCATTCTTTTTCACCACACACCAAAATAAACTCAAAATGGATCAAAGACCTAAAGATTAGGCCTGAGACAATAAGTCTTTTGGAAGAGAATACAGGCAGTACACTCTTTGACATCAGTTTCAAAAGAATCTTTTCAGACACTGTAACTCCTCAGTTGAGGGAAACAATAGAAAGAATAAACAAATGGGACTTCATCAGACTAAAGAGCTTCTTCAAGGCAAGGGAAAACAGGATTGAAACAAAAAAACAGCTCACTAATTGGGAAAAAATATTTACAAGCCACTTATCTGACAAAGGGTTAATCTCCATAATATACAAAGAACTCACACTGATTAGCAACAAAAAAACAAACAACCCGATCAAAAAATGGGCAGAGGACATGAACAGACATTTCTCAAAAGAAGATATGAATATGGCCAATAGACACATGAAAAAATGTTCATCATCGCTAATCACCAGGGAAATGCAAATCAAAACTACACTAAGATATCACCTTACACCCGTTAGATTGGCAAAAACATCCAAAACCAAGAGTGACAAATGTTGGAGAGGATGTGGAGAAAAAGGAACCCTCATACACTGTTGGTGGGAATGCAAACTGGTACAGCCACTATGGAAAACAGTATGGAGATTTCTCAAAAAGTTAAAAATAGAAATACCCTATGACCCAGCCATCCCATTACTGGGTATCTATCCTAAGAACCTGATATCAGAAATCTCAAGAGTCCGTTGCACCCCTATGTTCATCGCAGCATTATTTACAATAGCCAAGACGTGGAACCAGCCTACATGCCCAGAAACTGATGATTGGATAAAGAAGATGTGGTATATATACACAATGGAATACTACTCAGCCATAAAAAAAGACAAAATTGGCCCATTCACAACAACGTGGATGGACCTCGAGGGTATTATGTTAAGCAAAATAAGCCAGTCAGAGAAAGACGAACTCTATATGACTCCACTCATAGGTGGAAGTTAGTATATTGACAAGGAGATCTGATCGGTGGTTACCAGGGAAAAGGGGGGGTGGGGGGAGGGCACAGAGGGGGAGATGGTGTACCCACAACATGACTAACAAAAATGTACAACTGAAATCTCACAAGGTTGTAATCTATCATACCATTAATAAAAAAAAAAAAATTTTTTTAAATGTTCCCTCAACAAAGGACAATTATACACAGCAAAAATGCTATGAGCATGCAGCTCCAGGTTCTTTAATTTAACTTTTAATTTCATCCTCTGTTTGAAGTTCCTTGTGACTGTAACTCTGTGTGAGACTATATTATTTTCATAATAATGTAATCTAAACCATTCTTAAATCTCACAATGTCCTCCCTAAATTTTAGTCAGAACCTTTATAAAAGAAGAAATCTCACTTCCCCCTTTGATGTAACTGGTGCCACTTGCTCTGCTTGCTTTAGAACACAAAACAGCTCTGTGTTTCACTTTCAAATGACATACCCTCAAGAAAATCCCAAGACTTCTAAAAACATTTTACTGTCCAAACATGCCCACACTGGTATTCAAAACTTGGAAAATCCTGCCTACAAACCCAAGAGCTCTACTCCCAGCCCAAAGGACATCCATACCCCTGGATCAGCCGCAGTGAACCATGGATCAGTGTTTGACCCTTGCAGAAAGAGCCCCTGGGGCAATGTGTCTCTCAATTTTGACCGCAGTAACTCATGGGGCTGAAAAAAGTAAATGAACAACCATGCTCTGGGGGTGAAGTTCAAAGTGGCCTGAAATTCCTCTAGAGTTACATGTTTAATATTTAAAGGTCATAAAAATTTTATCTTTGTGGGTTTCTTTAATATGAAAAATATTTTTCCCAAAAAATAATTTTGAGTAAAACTGACAATCCAGGAAGGTGCACCCTATTTATCCTATAGCTTGTAGGTTTCCTAGAACATACGTCACGTCACTACGAAGGAATTAAGTAGCCCAAGGTAAGAAGCTGAGCCTCTGGCAAACATCAACCCTGCTCAGGATCAAAGTGAGGGCTCAGCTCTGACCCCTGGTGTCACAGCAGGACCACCAAGCCTTCTGGAGTTCAGGCTCGCCCTCCCTGTCAGCACTCTAGTCTCTACCATGGCTGGTTTCCTCGTCTCCAAGCCAGATGTTTCCAATCTGAGTGCACAAGTAATAAAGGAGACCCTAGAATTATTTATCAATATTTCAACCATTTAAAAAATTTACCTTTTCCTAAAATTAAATGCAGACGAACTAAAATGCCACGTTTCTTTAGATTTTCTAGGATTTTATCAAATGGGTACTGGTGATTTTCTTGTACTGACTTCTAACTACAGCCCTCTGGTCAATTTTTAAAAGGAAAGATGAATTACTGTTACATAATAAAAGCCATTTCTTTGTAAATAAATGAGTACGGCATGGGACTGAAGGGAAGGAAGAGAGATGAAGATCACAGATCAAGAACCAGTCCCCTAATGAGCAGCCCTCTGGGTTTCCTGAGGACCAGAAAGAACTCCACTCCACTGTGATGGCCAGAACCTAAGCCCAAGATCTCTGGCCTGCTGGTCCCTAAAGACTTCATCAGGATTTTGTCTGCTGCCTGAGTTGACCCCTCATACTACCCACACTCTCTCTGAACTTAAAAAGTCAGAAACTGTACAACCACCATACAAGTTGTAGCACATAATGGCTTAGTAACATCATCATCTGGGTCTATGTGATCTCTCTGGAGCACAGGAGTCTGCAATTCAAGTCTTACTCGTTTAAAATGATATTCATTTGAGTATGCACTATAAAATGTAATCATAGTCCATTTTAGACGGCTAACAACAATAATCTATATGAAAATAATACTGAGCTATCTTTTAAATGAAATCATGTATTTTGTATTTTATCATAAGATAAAATATAAATCAGTTTTTGTTTCCCATGGGAGATTCATCTTAACAAATCAATGTTATACAAGAAAGAATAAATTCTACATACTATTTTCATGTAAACGAGGCCAACACACAATAAAATGTCAACCCAAAATTTTAAATAAATGCTCAACAAGATCAGCCTACATGACTGCAAAAATGTTAACAATTTGCAAAAGAACTAAGATACCTCTGCATTATTATAAAAAGCTGTGCTATTTTTCTCTTGTACATCTTCCCCTCGTGCTGTAAAGAAAGTTAATGGGTAGAAATCTTTGTGTGCTGGTTGCTTTCCACTGGCCATCAGTTTGCCCTCATAGAAGAGCTCAGAGGTGTAACTGCAGAAAAAGACCAAAATAAGTAATTAAAGAGTAATCTATCATCAAAAATATTTTGATCTATAAGGAAAAAAATTATCAGTCAATTCTAATAGTGTTGCTTAATGTCCATGACTAATTTTAATCCAAACATCTAATGCCTAAAGGGCCAAGATTTTCTTCAAAGGTAACCACAGCAATAAAAACAGAGTAGGCTCTTGGTATACCATTGCTAAATGGATTGATTTTGTTAAGGTATGAAGCCAGAATATACAAAGAAAAGGAAGAAACCATGATAGGTCAATATTAGATGAGAATCTTGGTCTACAAGGAAATGTGCTAGCTAGTATATTTTCTTGGTTAACACATATTTTGATCTATGTGGATCACATACTTATATATGCAAATACAAAGATATATAGACATTGAAACAATACACACAATAGAAGGACATTCAAGTCTTCAACTGTAAAGTGGACATTCTTTACTGATGAAGATGCTATCTAGTACTTGATTCATCATTGACTGCAGCAAATGACTAGCAATAAGAAAACAGAAATCACATTTTGACATATTGATAAAAAGCCATAGATAAATCTAAATTTATTTTTATATCTATCCTATTGCTTTCACAGAAACCTAAAAATGGTTTTCACATGACCAACATAATCAATATTACTAAATTATACTAAACTTGAAGAAAACTTTTTGGTGGGGGCAGTGACTGGAAAGGAGCACAGGGGGCTTTCCAGAGTGCTGCTCATGCTCTGTTTCTCGGTCTGCATGCCAGTTCCATGGGTGTGTTTGCTTTGTGACTGTTCATTGAGCTGTCACTTATGATATTTTTACTTTTATAGATGCATACTATATTTAATGGAAACTTTAAAAAACTTTACTACTAAGTTTCATGTTTTTCCTTCTTTCCTCCCTCTCTTCCTTTCTTTTAAAACAGATTGCTTGCAGAACAGAGCCAGACACATATAAGCAAACCATTATGTGGTTTGTTAATATATTTGCTTATTACACCATGTAGTTTTACATATATATTATATATTTAGTCACTGGAAAATATGTCATAGCTAGTAGAACCTAAAGTTTTAGTTCCCAGAATTGCCCTATTTGTGAAAAATTACAGCTCTGACTTTTGAAGTGTTCTTTTACAGACATAAAAGTAACATGATTTACAACACTAGGGACACCATATAAGTCCGTTGGGAGCAATCTGTCCCTAGTAACAGTGCCGTGCTGAGTTCCCTCCCCCCAGACCACAGGCAGTGTGACACAGAGAGGGCAGTTCATGCCTACTTGATGATAGCTTCATGGGAGCGGTAGTTCTCACAGAGGAGGATCCTACATGGAAACTCGGCAGGGTAATGCTCATAAAGTCGATCAAGTAATGAAACGTGAAGGTTTCTCTCCCTGGCAAACTCGCTGTAAACAAAAGGACTGAGCTGTAACAGACAAACATACAGAGAAAATTTAACTAAAAATATACAAATTGTATTTTTTTAACCTACTTATAAAAAAATCCACTATGTTGAAACTTCTGATTGTACTAAACCTTGACAAGCTGAATGCTGGAACAAGCAGAATCAAAAACATTTTCTATGAACAATTCTACTACTTATAAAGATCCAGGCTAAAATTTCAAAGTTTTCATTTCAGTATACCAACACTAACCTACAGTTTCTACACAGAGGTTAGTAAAGGACTCCTCCAACATGATAGCTACTACTTCAGAAACCCATTGCACCACTGAGGAGCCAATCAGTTATTTCCAAAATTTATCAATTATTTAAAATGATGAGCCAGTAGGATATAGTCTATGACTAAAAAATTTACTTTTTTATTTTTATTTATTTTTTCTTTTTTTGGTGAGGAAGACTGGCCCTGAGCTAACATCTGTTGCCAATCCTCTCCTTTTTGCTTGAGGAAGACTGTTGCTGAGCCAATATCTCTGAAAATCTTTCTCCATCCTGTATGTGGGACGCCGCTAAAGCATGGCGTGATGAGCGGTGTGTAGGTCCACGCCTAGGATCCAAACCCACAAACCCTGGGCCACCAAAGCAAAATGTGTGAACCCAACCACCATGCCACCGGGCCAGACACAAGATTTATTTTTAATAATTAGCAAAATAATCCCTTTATTTCATAAAATATAAGGAGCCATTCTGATTATAAGTTGATTGCAAAAGAACAAAATTAAACTCTTTTTGGAAATGAAACAAAAACAGAATTTATTCTTCTACATTCAACTCTTTCCTGGATATCGTGACAACTACAGTACTACAGGTTCAATCTTAATCAACTGTGGCAGAAGAGAAAGAACCTCAAATTGCAACTTTCTAAAATAGATATTTTAATAGAAAAACTGTATTTCTCTTTCATATGTAGGTATTCAAATACATAAAATCAGACATGTTGAGATTTTTGACTGTTAGTTTTAATTAAGCACTTTATTTCCTATGACAGTGAAAAACTAACTCTTCAGGAAAACAAACATTGGGGACAGGAATTGGGGAACTGTAGGAAGGATAACAAATTTATTTTATAAAGAAAAGTAAGAATCAGGGCTGGCCTAATGGTTAAGTTCAGCGCACTCCACTTTGGCGGCCCGGGTTTGGTTCCCAGGTGGGGATCTACATTGCTCATCAGCAGCCATGCTGTGGTGATAACCCACATACAAAACAGAGGAAGACTGGCATAGATGTTAGCTCAGGACAAATCTTCCTCAAGCAAAAAGAGGAAGATTGGCAATGGATGTTAGTTCAGGCCAAATCTTCTTCAGTACAAAAAAAAGAAAAGTAAGAATCAAATATTCATACTATAGAGAACTGAACTTCAAAATTAACAAAACGAAAATTATAACACTGATAGACTCATTGATTCTACTCTCCATCCAAAGAAAAAAAAAGTGGCGGGATAGTAATTTTCCTTCAGAAACACCAATATTTTTCACTATTAGTACAGAAATACTTAAAGTACTTAAACTGTAATACATGGGGTTTTTTTTTAAGATTTCATAGGATGTTTCAGAAAATAGAATATTAAACATCAAGACAGAATTAAAAGTTCCTTTCAATATGATGACTCAGAGGGCACTTACCTGCATGTGGTCACCAGCCAAGACAATCCGAGTGCTTTTAGTTGCTAATGCTAGAGGCATAATGGTTTCACACTCCATGGCCTGGGCAGCTTCATCCAATAAAATGTGTGTAAAAAACCCTGCAAAGTACAGTGGAAACACAGTCATGCATATTACAGCAGCAATAAAGCTAAGAGTAGACGTTTTCTTTTCAAAGAGTTAGTGTGCTAATTAAGAGTTGTGAATATTTGTAATGCCAATCCTCAAATGAGAAAATTGTCAATTTAAATCATTATTTAAAAAATAGAAGTTAACTTGTCAGTGGCCATGCTGCAGCAGCAAACCACATACAAAATAGAGGAAGACGGGCACAGATGTTAGCTCAGGGTGAATCTTCCTCAGCAAAAAATAAATTAAATAAATAAAAAATAGAGGTTAAAAGGAATAACTATTTTACTCAATAATCAATATATAAATGACATCTGGTACTAAGGGCCCGAAGATTAACAGTTGGATCAGCATATATAAAAAAGATTTTAAAAGTACAAGATAGTGGCTTTTCACCAAAAAAAAGGGCTGGCAACTAAACATTGGGTAGGCCAAAAGTCCTTTCATTATTTATTTGGTGAAACACCAAAAATAAAACAATGGTAGTTTATAAGTATCTTTAGCCTAAACATGCATATTAGACATTAAAATTTTTTTAAATCATACCCAACATCTGATATAAAGGAGAAAGTTATAATCCAGCTTTGACTGAAAACAAAGGTTATCTCTTAGCAAATTCACTAATTTGAATATTTACGTTTATTATGTGTGGGGGGTGTGTGTGTGTGGTGGGGTGTGTACAGACAGACAATTTTTTAATCTAAGATCCCACGCTGGCTGAAAAAAAATCACCAGTCTGCAAAAAAAGTGATAACAAATGTCAAAAATGTACATTATCAAATGTCCCCAGATGCAAACACCTACAGTAGGAGGCAGCCAACGTCTTGGTTGCTGCTGCCACTCACACTGGGGCACAGGAATTTGTGTACAGAAGGGAGGAAAAAGTTCCTCTGCCCCTAAAAGGTGGGACAGAGGCAAACCTCTTCTTGCTATCTCAATGTGGAGCAGGAAAAAGCTGCCCCCTACTGCCAGCTCACCATGGACGGAAGAAGTGGGCCCTCTTGTTACCAGCATAGCAAAGAACACAAAGTCCTTTCTCAACAGAGAGACAAGTTATAAAACTCTCTGGATTAATCAGCTTCCTGTGAGTTGGCCCAATTTCTAAATAGGACCAAACTTCTAATTCCTATGAATATCAACAAGTTCCACACAATCTGTTTTTACAGATTTTACTTTCTAATGCTACTTGTTTTTAGGTTGGGAACTTTCTAAATCTTACTGACTTGCACTAATAACCATCATCATCATCACTATCCATTCAAACAAATGGCTACGGTTGACAGTATAAGTATCAGTAACTGTTACCTGTTTACCAACAGTGGTCCAAGCATAATATAGACACATGCATTTTTCTCTCTGTTGGAGAGAATTTGTGCTTTTTGTCCTATAAGACTAATTAAGGAAGATGACTATATAAACACAGAATCAAATTGGAAAAAACTGAGACTACTGAAAAACTATTACTTTCATTAGATAACATTCTAATTAAATAGAGCTAGGCTTGACTCAGGAACTGGATAAGTTGTAAAATTGTTATAGTTATTGCTTACTAGTAAAGGGAACCTGAATTAACCGAACTGATTTAGCCTGAGCCCTGGTTTTCTTATCTGCAAACTAACCCTCCAAAGGGCTGATAGGAGAATTAAACGAAATAAAGTATAAAAAACACCCAGAACAAAATAGACAGTTGACTTCCAACAAGTATTCTTCTACACTCTTGCTCTTCAAAGCCATTCTTTACTCTTTCTCACAAAACCACACTGTTTAGAATGTTTGGGTATTTAATCTGTGTGGCACATAGGCAGAGTATAATCATAAAGTAATGAGACTGACTGTTAAATAAACATACCAAAATTTACATTTCAAATAAGTGTTGTTCCATTCAAAGAAGTCAGTTGGGAGGAAATATAACTCATTCCAATGATGCAGCCACTGTTCAAAACATTTTTGAAATTCTGCTTTTGTAACTGCCCTCACCAGCCAGCTATGAGCTGCACGCACAAGAAAATAAGTCTCATTACATGAGAGGCATATCTCTCTTTTTTTCTCCCCCTAATGGTATTGCTGAGTTTGGTCGCCTACCTTATTTACCAGACATGCCTCTGAAAGATTTTGAAGCTTTTCTAAAATTAAATCTACCCTCAAAAAAGAAAGTTTGGCCACCATTCATTCATTTTAAGACAGAGGTTTATCAAGGGCCTCCAGGTGTCTATAATCTGGGCCAGGTGCCAGAAATGCGTGGTGAAGAGAACAGTCTCTATCTTCCAGGGACTCAAAAGAATCTGTCACTGGCTCAGAAAGCAATTCCAAAAGGAGAAAGCAAAAAAGTTTTGAGCAATGTCAACAAGCATAATATGGCAGTAATAAATGAATATTCTTCCAAAGAAACTACCTTAAAGTGTTACCACTTTTTGATGGTTAAGTTCTGCCATATTTATCAGAACTTCTTGTCAACTTCTATCTGTATTTCATATAATATTGGTTTCATTTTACATAGTACCTCTACTTAAATGTAATAATCTTAATACTATGTTATTAAAAAAACCTATCATAATTGTTGTCTCTGAACTATATAACACAAAAGTATTTTAAAACAAAAACTTGAGAAAACTGTAAAAAACAAGTGTCCAAATTTGCATTTTTCATAGGCTCAACAGTAAGTAATTAGCATCTGATCAATTACAGAACAAACAGAATAGCAGTCAGTAAAATGTCTAAACTAGGCATTGACAGATTGTTTTCTATAAAGGGCCAAACAGTACATATTTTAGGATTTGTTGGCGATACAATCTCTGTTGCAGCTACTTAACTCAGCTGCTGTGGCACGGAAGCATCCACAGATAATAAACAGGTACGTAAGTGGGCATGGCTGTCTTCATTCAACAAAACTGTACTTACAAAAACAGAGACAGTAAGTCAGATTTGGCCCCCAGGCTGTGTAGCTTGTCAAGCCCTGGTCTAATTGAATGGAGAAACCCTACACATACAGAGACACCCAATCTGTGTCTTGAATCAGCATACCAGGTTCAAGGTCCAACTGACAGAGGTACTGGGAAGTATTCAATGTAACAACAACCACTCGATGTTTAAGAATATCTTCTTTCTGTGGCATCTGAAAGGTGGAATGTGCGCTTGAGATCAAACAGTACTGATGCACAACTGGGTGGACAGTCTTTACCCAGCGATTTCTGAAATATACCCTAGAAAAAGAAGACAATATTTCCTATTTATATTTATTAACATCTTACCAGTTATCTGATTATCAAAATACTGACATTATTATTTTAAGACTACAATATCTGGAAATTAACAAACAAATCTGATAACTGTTAACTCTTCTGGATTTAGAATTTAACACAAAACTGTGACTTCCCCCGACCAAAAGAAGATTCAAGCAGAAAGCACATGTTCTACCATAAAATAAATATCTAATTATTTTTAAGTATTCAGATTAATCTTACAACAGAATTACATACAAACAGTTTCATAAGCATTACAGTTTTTTAAGTTCCAAACATTCCCATTTGGGAATTTTCTTTTCTAGAATATTCTTACAAAAATATACTTAACTCATATTTAATTTTCTATGCTAATAAAAAAATAGTGAATTGTATACTTACAACATAAATTTAAAAGTTACTTGCATTTCACTTATAACTATATTTAAATAGACCTCTATCTAAAGTTCTGGAAATTTAAAAATAAATTTAAATTTTGGACAATCAGAAAATCTTAAGAAAGAGCATTCTTCCACCAGCTGCAAAAGTAAAATACTAATAGGCCTCATACAATAGATTACTAAGATGGTACAGAAACAACTCATCTATCCATCCACCCACCCACCCACCATCTCTAATGGACCCACCTAACAAAGATCTATTGGGTGTCTACTATGATCCAGCACAGAGGCAAATCACATGGCTTGCAAGCTTTCATAAAGGCTTTAGATTTACTCTGATTTTAATGGAAAGCTATTAGAGTTCTGACCGGGCAGTCACATGACTGACTTAAGTTGTTAAAGGGCCCCTCTGTTTCTCTGCACAGGATACACAGTTTAGGGGGAAGAGGGTTTGGACAGTGGTGTGCTGGTAAATGCTGAACAACTAGCTTTTGGGGGGCGGGGGTGGCTGATTTGTAGTATGTGCTGATGTCTGTGGTATAAAACCTACCACTGCCATGGCCAATTTCAAGCTACCAACATGATGTCACTGAACATGAACTTGGGAAGACATTCACATGATTGGCTCTCACAAACCAGTACAAGCCGGCTCCAACACATCACTGACTAGGACAGAGGCAGGTAACAGAAGCAGCGAGACCAGTAAGGAGGTTGTGGTAAGGGTCTGGACAAGGAAAGATGATAGCTTGGACTAGGGTGGTTAACAGCAGAGATGTGAAAATGGTCAGATTCACTATAATTTTGAGAGTAATCCTAACCGGATTTACTGATGAACTAGATAGGTGTGGAGTTTAAGAGAAAAGATGATTCCACGCCTTTCAAACGGAATGAACGGCAGTGGTTGGTGTTTACAAAGGTGGTGAAAGGAAGGAACAGATTTGGGGTAGGAACTGAGAAATTCAGTTTTGGACATATTCAGTAGGAGATGTGCAGTAAGCAGGGGGATATATAAGTTTGGAGTTCAGGAGGATGCCTGGGACAAGAAATATACAATTGGGATAACACTTAAGCTTTGAGACCACATGAGATCACCTGGAAACTAAGTGGAGATAAAAAAGAAAATGGTTGGAAGAATGATCAATGGACCACTCCGAAGTTTAAAGCCTGGGAAAAGGAGACGGATACAGTAAAGGAGACTGGGAAGCAACAGTCAACAAAATATGAACTCAGGAGAGTGTGGTGGGGGGTGCAATCAAGGGACATAAACTGCCTTGTCACTACATTGTTTGGACATTCTCCAGGCCTATCAAGTTACTTGACTCATAAGCAGCAACAATTCTATGGTGGCTCCCTCCTTGAAACACTCTCTTCCCTCAGCTTCCATGACTCAACCTTTCCCTGACTCAACCTTTCCCTGATTTCCTTTCACCTCTCAAAGCTAGGGTTCCTCAAGGCTTAATCTTCAGCTCTCTCCTCTTTTCAAGCTCTGTTCTCTCGCCTGACAATCTCATCCAGGCTCATGGCTTCAATTACCCCACTACCCTAATGACTCATATGTTTTTCTCTCCCCAGCCAAGACCTCACCTCTGAGCTCCAGGATACATAACCAACTGTTTATTTGACATCTGTCTCCTCCAGAATGTTTCAAAGGCAGCTCAAATGTAATATAGACAAAAACTAATCTCATGATCTTCTAAAATGTGTTCTAGCCCTCCAGGAAACACTTAAAATGGTTATTGTCTTTTTTTAAGCAAAGAAAAAAAACATATTTAATAAATGTCCCTAAATATAAACTATAACAGAGGAAACTAAAGAAATGCATCTTTAAAACATCACTATGATAGGAAGGACAATAAACTTGGTGAAAGTAACCAATATCACTTCTCAAAGATGTAAAAATCTTAAACAACACATTTTAATTCAGCAAAGCAGAATTTACTTTTAAATATATGGAAAATCTCATCTTACAAACTATCTGAAACAAAACATTTCCAAATTATGATTCCACTAATATTAACTAAAGTATGTGTATTTAAGCATATAAATTACTAGAAATTAAACTTTAAAATGTTAGCCATGTTTATCTCTGGCTGGTGAGATTATAGAAAATTCTTATTTTCTTCTTTGTGCTTCTCTATATTCTCCAGATTTTCTTAAATGAACATTTCACTGTAAAATTGAAAAAATGGTTTTTCAAATTACTCATCAAATCTAACTTTGAGCACTGCTTCTTCCTCAAAGAAAAAATAGAAATTGAGGTTCTAAGTCTCACTGCTGACTTTTTTGTAGTTACCTAGTTGAAGCTAGTTAAATACAGTCTGATCATTAGACCTATTTCCTTAAAAGTATAATATTCTAGTGCTGACTTCAAAAAGATTTCAATATTTTCTCCGTATTTTCATTCTGTGCAACATTTAAGGTAGACATTGTCTATAAAATTACTTAAAACACACCCAACAATATTTTTCAAAATTGGAAAATTGATACTGACAAGCGACACTTTCAAGCTCATTGTATAAACTGTATGTGACACCAACTAATTTACGCATTTCTAGAAACAAACCATTCATATATCCCACACAAATTATGATGACACTTAAAATAGGACTTTATCTGGTAGTATACCATTTTAATTCACTGAAATTTTATTCATGTATTGAATTCACATGCAATGAACACCCCCTCAAAATGTTATTACTTAAGATACTACAGAATCAGAAAGATCTGATCCCAGAAGAAAATTTGTTTCTTTAAAGGCCTATATAAAACAATAAATACCTTCTCTTTGCCCAGAAAGCAGTAAAGGCACACTTTCTCCATAGATAACCTCTATCTGCTAAGAGATAACTTTGCCAGAGGCAGAAACTGATCTTCAGAACTATACACAGAAAGAAACTATTTTCTTCCCTACTCCATTTTAAAATCTTCTGATTCTAATGGAGTAAAAGGTAAAAACTAAAACTAAATATAATCTAAAATGGTTTCTCAAACCTCCATCTCCAAATATTTTAAGATCAACTCCTGGCAACTAATTGAATTTTAAACATTTTAACCACAAGTGTGCATACTTACTGTAATAACTATTTAATGTTTAGTGACTATTTTCACACTTCATCACATTTACCAGGGCCCACTCTAAACTATACTGTGAAGAAGTAAAAGTCTTCATCACTCTTACTCCACAGAGACATCACATCTTCATGGTCATATATGGACACTTAGTGCCCTCTTGTGTTCTTTCCCCTGCATCCTGGGACAATCCAGATAAAACTGATCTCCCCAGAGTATTCAGCCATTCTAATTTGCTCTATTCTATTTCCCATACCTCTCATGTTTGTTGTCCTTTAGGAAAATTATAAATTCATCTGAGCTAATGCAATAATAAATGGTGCTAATAAATCCTGGCATATCAATGCATTAATCCTCCTAGAAAACATATTCGCAAGTTAACGCTTTTCCCAAAGAGAAAAACTGTGGTGAAAATGCAGGGCCACATAAAGAAAATATTTGGGGAAGTCAAAGCTTTTCTTATTTTATTCCATTTACTAAGTGAAATAACATGAAATTTGTATTTAAACATATTTAAATATTTTTCCATCTTTGACTGAACCACTCTTGAGACTGGCAGAGAGGTGAGATTTTCTGCTAGAGGGCAAATTTTTATATCTGGGACACTACAACTACAGAGATAACTTCTTATTCCACATATTTAGATGTACTATATGTTGGGTTATAACCCCCAAAACAAAATTTTACATGGGAAAAGCTAAACATAATGCTAGCCAAATTATGGGTTTTAATGTTTATCAGCAATGGCTTTACTGCCCCAAATGTCAAATGACCTATGCTAGTCTGACCAGGATTTGAGGGGCCTTTACTCCACTGTTTCCAAGTCACGTACACCGTGAGGACTGAGACTGACACGGTTCCTACACAACACTCAGCCACATGAACACAAACACTCACACACACGCTCTACCAACAACAAAAGCAAACACAACAAACATCTCCATGAAAGTAAGAATACTCAAAAGCAAAAATGCTACTAGCTTCTCAATTTGCACTACTGAGCTAAAAAAGATTAGAATCTGAAGCAAACCAGTTATAGATGAATTTATCCATTGGTAAACACGTTTTTCATTTATAGTGATTGCATACATGTCATATTTTCTTATTAAACACAACTGGATGCTACTTAAAATAATTATTTCTGTTCTAATTTGCCTTCCAGAGTGAAAACAAAGTATGGCATAAAAACCTGTGTCAACAGGTCATGCCACTTTTTTCTCTTTTGTCCTTTTTAATGCAATTGTAAAATCACTCAAATGGCTTGGGTTATGGTTATTAAACAATTAAACAGAATAATCTCATTTTTCCATGCCTAGGCTTAACCAGAAATAAAAAGTTAGCGAACTGTGATTCAAAACTGTGGTTAGAAATTAATTTGTAAATAATAATTGTATTTGAACAACATAGGGTATGGCATATTAGTTGTAAAATGGCAAAACTAAACACTAATTCATATAACAATGAAAGCAAATGGTATAACCATTTAATGATTCTTTATTGTTTTCTGAAGAAAAGGATTTTATTCCCCCACAATCCTGTATTTAAATACATTTCATATATACTCAGAGGATCTTTCGATATCAATCTAAAATTTTCTTTAACACTGTTTCTTAAATGATAGCAAAAAGTTGTAAATACCAGTCAATTACATTTTGTTGCAGAAATCACTTGACTATTTCCTGCTTCTCTAATGTGTAACTTCTATGAAATCACCTGCATGATCACAGTCAAATTTTACTTCCATAAAGAACTATCTCTGCATGACTATTCTGCCATGCAAAATATGCTAGAATTTGAATTGTTTGATTTAACAATATTTATATTATTTCATCATAGTAGCTTTTAGGGGTACACATCAAAATCGACTCAGGTTGTAACAACATTTTTACATACAAAACTTAAAAAAGGATGTCTTTCTTTTTACTTAATGTTTAAGAAATGAATGGTCAAACATTTTAAAATTTTTCCTTAATTTAAATGGTTTCTTCAAAAGGTATAACCTCCAAAAGCCAATGCACAGTTAAAGATTTTGGTTTTCTCAAAGTTACTAAAATCTTTACAGACACCTTTTCTTAAGAATAATAAAGTATGATACAGATACATAATAAGCCTTAAAAAATACCTGAGAGGTCTTGCCTGGGGATTGCCTGCTTCTACATATGGATGTAAATAATCCTTTATGTAGAGATCAGCAGCACTATTAGAATGGGTGCAAATGAGAATCCTGCTGAAATAAATGGTGCAAATAAAAAGAATGATAAAACACAAAACTATTCAAGCAATATAATACCAAAAAAAAGCAGTGGCCATCTTAATATTACACATTTTCCTCAACCTACTCAGTAACCTCTAACATATTATTCAATGATGCTTTTAGAAAATCATATTACTATTTAAGCTGTAAAGGAAATAACTTCCCCAAAATTATTTTTAAATCTAACATAGAAAATAATTTTTAAAAACCCAACTCTTGGCTCTAACATATACCACAATTCCTTAGCTGACCTGGAGTTTTGGTGGCTAGTTAAAAGCTATCATTCTCTACATTGCCAATTTTTAAAAACACTGTTTTAACAGAATCCAAATTTCAGTGCTTTGGGGTTTGAGTGTGGGTCTTTTTCTTTCTTTTCTAATTTTGTTTTTTAATCAAATTAATTTTAATTTTCTGGACAAAAATGGTCTTGCTAGCCCTCATTTTGTATTCACAATAAGGACAGAGGTTGTGCCCTACCAATGAGATCAGAGCGCACACATCACCATCTCACCTGGTCTCCTGTTGCTGGAGTATGTGCTTGACGGCCTGAGCTAGAGTGAATGTTTTGCCCGTCCCATAGGGTCCGATGATGAGAACAGGAGGCAGCTGTATTGAAAGTGGCGTTGTAATGGCCAGAACAGCCTCTTTCTGTTTTGCATTTAGCCGAGGATCCAACTGTTCATCCCACTGTCTATAGAAAATAAAAATTTAAGTTATTTCAAACACATGCATCTTATTAATAAACAGAACATGACACAGTATCCTGAATTTCACTGAACCATTAAAACTACTGAAATAGCATAGCATCTATAAAAACAAATGCTTATTCTAAAACCACTCTTCAGAAAATTACCCAACAGAGTTGGTGTAGAGTGTTTTTCTGTTGATCTAAAGTCACTTTAGTTATCTTGTCCTATTCCAACTGCAAAAAGATTTTGATAAATAACCTAAAGACATCACACACTTCTAGTATAGTTGCTGCCAAGCCTATAAATAGTAATGGCAATGTCTCAAAAATGTAATTTCCCTCGGTTACATAAAAGCATTAGAAAAGTTTTTTCTGGTAATAATGAAGTAGCAGTTTCTTTGCATAGCAAATAAATGCAAAAGGGAAACAAACTGATTTTCAAATTCTAATCCACTGAAAGATCTCTTAGTAAAGTTTAAAACAAAGGAAAAAGAAAAAACCTGTATGTCCCTGGTTAAGAAATATCAAACTTTTACAAAGTTCTTAATTCAGAATAGCAGGTTATTTTTAAAGGCCAAACGATATGAAGCGTTTTCTGATATTTTCACATACACAAATAATATACATGTGTCCTATCTGTTAGGGTAGAGAACACCTGTCACGGCAGCACAAATGGCTGCTGTAAGGAGATCTTACTAGCCTCCCTTCTATGACTTGGCTATGTTTCCAAGATTTAAATGGATGGCAGATGCTGAAAAGGATCAAACCAAATGGAGAATCAACAGCATTCTTTCTTACAACTACAATTAAAACACTAAATATCACAACAACTATGTTAAAAATGATAGGGATGTGAACCAAAATAAGACGGGAGTGTAAAGAGACTCAGAAAATTTGCAAAGTGCCTAGAAAATAATCCTGAACTAGGACACAGTTTACACAGTAAAATCCCCACTCTGGGAGGCTACACTCGACTTAAAGCAGAAGCCAGTTATTTATGGAAACCTTCTTACTACTTTCAGTTTTAAAAAATTACAACTAATGCTATATTATGATAATTTCAAACAAACAAAATTCTCCCAAAAAATGTAAAACCTTAGAACACAAACTTTGGCCATACAAACATGCCATTACTTCTTTTCCTGAAAGCCATTCAGTAAAGCTCAAGTATTTTACTCCAAAGAGTCCCTCAGTATTAATCAGCATATTTACTCACAATTCTGCCAGCACTTCGCCAATGTTCCATCTTCTATAAATGAGGAAATTGCTTTCAGTGATGTAAGTCCAGATCTATTATATGTGGCCAACACTGTGGAATGGTTACCCCAAAAGCATCCACAGCACCCTTCTCTGCCTTCCTCTATTTTTGAGCCTAGACAGCTGTAATACTCCATTTCTCAGCCTCCTCAGCTGGAGATACAATTCTAGTCAATGAGATGCAGGAAGAAGTCCCTCAGAAGGGCTTCTATATCCAATAAAACAAAAACAAACCCTCCCTAGAAGAAAGCCCTTCTTGCTCCTTGACCTTTGTCCTTCGTCTGGCTGGAATGAGCTTGTAGTAAATAAAGCTGCAACAGCTATCTTATAATCATGAGACAACAGGCCATCAAGAAGAAAACCAATATGGGGCTGGCCCCATGGCCGACTGGTTAAGTTCACACGCTCCACTCCAGCAGCCCAGGGTTCCACCGGTTCGGATCCTGGGTACGGACCTAACACCACTCATCAAGCCATGCTGAGATGGCGTCCCACGTAGCACAGCCAGAAGGACCTACAACTAGAATATATAACTATGTACTGAGGGGCGTTAGGGAGAAGAGGGGATTAAAAAACAAAAAAAGGGGGAGGCCAGCCTGGTGGCGCAGCGGTTAAGTTCACATGTTCCACTGTGGCGCCCCAGGGTTCACCGGTTCAGATCCCGGGTGCAGACCTACACACCGCTTGTCAAGCCATGCTGTGGGAGGCGTCCCACATATGGGCACGGATGTTAGCTCAGGGCCAGTCTTCCTCCACAAAAAAGAGGAGGATTGGTGGCAGACATTAGCTCAGGGCTAATCTTCCTAAAAAAAAAAAAAGTAAAAGAAAACAGAAAACCAATATGCTCTACAAAGCAGAGAGGATAGGGAGATGTTGGTACTTGACGGCACTGCTGAGCCCCTGCACCAGCCCTGGACCACCTACTTCTGGGTTACCTCTACTTATTTAAGCCACAGCAAACTGTTATTTGCATCTATACCTGACCACTATGATTCTACGCTACCTGACCCCAACGGTTCCTTTATCTGTACGTGGAGATAATGATACTTGCATTAAATGGTTATTCTAAAATCAAATGAGATAATGCATGCAAGCTGTTTACAAAAATAATTGAGCACTAAGTGCTCAATTAATGTTGGGTTCTAGACTATTTTCTGAGGGTTTCAGAAAAATGGGCTATTACTTGATCAGTACACATTTTCAAAAAACAAAAAAAATGTTTTAAAAACACCCTCTAATCTTTCAAATTTGGAGACTTTAATGAACTTATGAATGAGACAGATATTAGATTATATATATAAGTATAAATCTAAGAGATTAATGACAGATTTACATGCATAATTCTAAAATATGTCAATATCTCTATTTTATTTACATAGCCCATTTTACTTATCATTTGTTTCAGTATAAATAAATGCTTCAGAGCAGATCAGAAACTTATCCGTCTCGGTCATCTCTACAGTTCCTGGTCACGAATAACGAACATTTATAGAAAGCCAACGAGTAAAAACGAATTGTCTTTATTTATTGTACCACCTGCTTAACAAAGGGAAGAATATTTACAATATACATGCTGATAAGACTCATCTCTGATTTTCACAATTTAAAACAATATAGGGGCCAGCCCCATAGCCGAGTGGTTAAGTTCTTGCGCTCTGCTTCGGCAGCCCAGGGTTTGGCCAGTTCGAATCCTGGGCGCAGACATGGCACGGCTCATCAAGCCATGCTGAGGCAGCATCCCACATGCCACAACTAGAAGGATCCACAACTAAAAATACACAATTATGTACCAGGGGTCTTTGGGAGAAAAAGGAAAAATTTAAAAATCATTAAAAAAATTAAAAAAAATAAAAAATAAATAAAGTCTCCTCAAGTTTACTCTGAATAAGTTATTTTATTCCCTGAACCAAATTAATTGAAAGTTCTTTTTTTCCCATGGTCTGATGCATTATTATAATTAATTTATAAGCTACATACTCAAGAATAATTTTTCAACTGCATTTATCTATCTATATTCCACCTTAGTCCAGAAAGGATTTTAAATGGCTAACAGTTTCTCACTATGTTCGTAGACCCAGGTACATTTTAATTACTGTTTAAATTATAGTGCTAAGAAATCTCCTCCTGTTTCAAAGTTTTCTGCTACTTGACATTTTCTTAGTTACTTTTGCAGTTAACACTTGCAATCAGTAGTATCTGAATATACTGTCATATATAATATAATTTTCTGAAGTGAGCATATCAAGTAAATGCCTAAAAGTTTACTGGTATGGCCTCATATTTGAAACCCTAATTTTCTTCTTTAAACTTGAAATTCTTACTAATTTAAATGTCATATATTAATAATGTGCAAGGCCCTGTTGGAGAGTCAAAGATAAACAAGACAAGGTGATTTACTTTAAAAAGCTGAGGGTCTAATGAGAATAGTAGAAATGTATAGAACTGACAAAAATTAATCTGAAAGACATTATGCTTGAAAGCACAAAACTGACAGAACCTGGCACATAGGCATCAATAAATATTTGTTGAAATAATGAAATGGAAGGGTTAGGTTCATCTGCTTGAAGCAGAGAGTACTCGAGCTAGACTAAATCTTAAAGGACAGGTAGATCTTCAATAGATCAATACTGGGCAAAGATTATCTCGGGGGAGAAAATCACAGATACGAAGACAGGGCTGAGGGAGCGGGAAATGTGGAGTTTAATGGGTATAAAGTTTCAGTTTTGCAAGATGAAAAAGTTCTGGAGATTAACTGCACAACAATGTGAACACATTTCACACTACTAAACTGTACACTTAAAAATGTTTAAGACAGTAAGTTTCACATTATGTAAATTTTACCACAATTTTAAGAATTTTTTAGAAGACAAGGAAGCAAATAAGTGTAGAGCAAATGAAGCAAACTTCAAGGTAATTCAATATGACTAGAGCATGGGGATTTAGAGAATATCAGCAGTACACTCTTTGACATCAGCTTCAAAAGAATCTTTTCAGACACCATAACCCCTCACATGAGGGAAACAACAGAAAGAATAAACAAATGGGACTTCATCAGACTAAAGAGCTTCTTCAAGGCAAGGGAAACCAGGATTGAAACAAAAAAACAACCCACTAATTGGGAAAAAATATTTACAAGCTACTTATCCGATAAAGGGTTAATCTCCATAATACACAAAGAACTCACACAGCTTAACAACAAAAAAACAAACAACCCGATCAAAAAATGGGCAGAGGACATGAACAGACACTTCTCCAAAGAAGATATAAGTATGGCCAATAGACACAGGAAAAGATGCTCATCATCACTAATCATCCGGGAAATGCAAATCAAAACTACACTAAGATATCACCTTACACCTGTTAGAATGGCAAAAATATCCAAAACCAAGAGTGACAAATGTTGGAGAGGCTGTGGAGAAAAAGGAACCCTCATACAGGGTTGGTGGGAATGCAAACTGGTGCAGCCACTATGGAAACACTATGGAGATTCCTCAAAAAGTTAAGAATAGAAATACCTTATGACCCAGCCATCCTAAGAACCTGAAATCAGCAATTCCAAAAGTCCCATGCACCCCTATGTTCATCCCAGCATTATTCACAACAGCCAAGTCATGGAACCAACCTAAGTGCCCAGCAACTGATGATTGGATAAAGAAGATATGGTATATATATATACAATGGAATACTACTCAGCCATAAAAGAGGACAAAGTCGTCCCATTCACAACAACATGGATAGACCTTGAGGGTATTATGTTGAGTGAAATAAGCCAGACAGAGAAAGACGAACTCTGTATGACTCCACTCATATGTGGTAGTTAACCTATGGACAAAGAGAACTGATCGGTGGTTGCCAGGGGAAAGGGGGCTGGGGGGAGGGCACTAGGGGTGAAGTGGTGTACCTACAACATGGCTAATAATGATGTACAACTGTAATTTCACAAGGTTGTTAACTATCATAACCTTAACAAAAAAAAAAAAAGACAAGGAAGCAAATAAGTGTAGAGCAAATGAAGCAAACTTCAAGGTAATTCAATATAACTAGACCATGGGGATTTAGAGGGAGAAAGGGGGTGTCGAGTTGAAAAAAGTCAAAGAAACATAAAAAGGTACTATTGGAAAGCACTGTAAATGAGACCAGGTAATAAACAGTTTTGTGTTACGCTGCTCAGACTCTATCTGCATATCAGTGAGAAGCATTCTGAGATTTGTAAGCAGTGAAGTGAAAGGATTATTTTAGCAAATTAACTCTGGAACAAATATGTGGGATGGACCACAGAACAGAGACACAGACAGCAGGATGGAAGACCAACTAGAGGGCTACTGAAATAGTCCAGCTCTAAATTAAGCATTGGCAGTAAGAATGGAAAAAAAGGGAAAGATGCAGAGAAGCTGGATCAAAAGGAACTGAGAAGATGTCACTGGATGTCTACAATTAGTAGATCACTGATTACTTTCAGGAGACCAAAGAGGAAAACAGAGATTACAGGATGAGTAAATAAGAATACTGGAAATATGCAGACTATTTCTACGCAAGAATTTTGGCAGTAAAAAGAAGAATGGGGAAAGGCTAGTAAAGGTAAGCAAGCACGCGAAAATTTATTTGGTTTTTGTGTTGTAAGGCATATTTTGCTTTGTTCCGTTTTTAGAACCAGAAGAAATGGAATTTGAGGGGAAGAGATATATGCCACTTCTAGGCCTGGCATAAAAATTTCCCACATGATCCTCTGTATTCACTCTTCCCCTGTCTGCCAGCTGGATGTCAATATCCAGGGTGACCTTGGAAACCACTTACTGAAGATACCAGAGCAGTGATGGAACAGGGCCACCCTACCATGATTGGATTGACACAAGTGATAAACAAATAAACTGTTATGTAGAGCTGTGAGATTTAAAAAAAAAAAAAAAAAAAGGTGGAGTAAGCTGAGCACCGGCAGGCACCAAGAGGATAAAACCCAGTGAAAAGGATGAAAAGAAAGATGCAGTCATAGAGCTATCACTGCTGTTAGTCTGGAAACAAAATAGAAGTATCATATTTAATTCAATGTAAAGATGCGCCAAACAGAATTTAAGTAGAAAAATATTTACACAACCATTAACTTAAAAACAGTTTCTGAAGTAGTATCTTCTATGATACTTTCTCCATTTTCCTAAATTACAAAAATGTCTTCTATATTCAAAAATTATTTTAAATTAACTATTTGAACCACTTTAGAAAGGCCCTAATTTTCCTATTCAACTTACACTCAGAAATATTTCTAAATTGCTTGGCATCCTATCAAATTAAGGCTGTTGAGAAAAGCAACTGTACTCATGTAGACTGAGGAAAAGCAAAGAAAATACATGATGAACCTCAAATGTTTCATTCAAAGGGTTCTTTTACTCTCCTTTCCCAACTAATAACATGCCTCCTCAAGAATACAGGCAAACATGCTAATAAAAGTACGCTTGAGTTATCTGATACAGATATTCAATTTAACATTAACATAACGTCCTTTAATGAGATATCTCCCTTCTTACCTATTGGGACTCCAAGGTATAGTTGGAGTCATAGTGATGTCTGGAAATAAAACCCCATTGTCCTTGATCCTGTCTAGCGCATAATGCATTTCACAGAGGGGTAATCGATTTAACTGAAACTGAAGTTCAACCTAAAACATAAAATAAAAAATTTTTTTAAAAAGCATTAAAGCAAACATCGATGCTTACAGCTCGCTAGAAAACTCGGTAGAGATAACCTTTTAAGGAGGCCACGTTTAGAGATTCTTTTAAAGTGTAATCGTATTCTAATAATAATTATTATGGCTAATATTTGCTTTGTTTATTACTATCAGGCACTGTAATATGCACTTTACATAGGTTATTTCGTTTAATAGTACCAATGTTGTATATACTATTATTAACTTTGTCTTACCTCTAAAGAAACTAAACCACTCACAAATTACTTAATCTCTAAATCAAGGTTATCTGATTCCACCATTGCTATGAAGCACAGATTTGATAAAATCAACAGAACACCTGTGAAATATCATCTCTCAAGTGCTAAAAACCAGGCCTATGACACTGTATCAATTTACTATGAATGAATAATATTCACCAAATTTTATGTTAAAAAAAAAAAAGACTAGCTTCCCAGTTAAATATGGCAGACTGAACACACAGTTCACCTAAAAATCCATAAAGATAAACAGAATAGGAGCAAACACAACTTCAGATGAGAACTGTCCCAGGATATAGCTTAGTTTCTTTTAAGCTGTTCTTCCTTTGCTTATTTATAACTCTAATCAGAAAGCTCAACCCTGTATAAAACTAGAACATTTTAGATGTTACTTAAAGAGAATCAATTTTCTCTGAGAATTACCAGAGGTCCAATTCTCCACCCAGGAGTACAACACTTCAAAGTCAGCTGCACTTCTGGTATGGCAGAAAAGGAAAACCAAACCAGAAGAAGAGTGTCGGCTGACAAGTAGACTACAGACAACCCTAGTTAAGTTGACCCACCTGTGTGTCATAATCAGGTCGAAGATTAAGTTCTTCACAGCATTCCCTGGATATCCTTAAAAATATATATTCTTTTGTTTTTTCTTCAATAGTAGCTTCATAAACCTTCTCTTTGGTTCCCTGGGTCTGTACTAACTTCTCTTTAGGGACTGGTAATAAATAAACAGCATTGACTTTGGTCATCACCAGCCGTCCAGCCAAAGTATCTTCAGAAAGTGTTTTAGTAAGCTTAAAGCGACCAAAAAGTTGTCCATTCTGAGCATACTTTGCACCTCCAGAAACTCCAGTGAGCATGAAGCTTGCTAGAATCTGCAATTGCACTTTAAGGTTGAACCTAAATCAGAAGTAGAAAACAAATTTGAATATTTTACATCAAAAACACAAAATCTAGAAGAGTAAAACAAATCAAATACAAACATACAAAAAGTTAAAATTTCACTGTCAATTTCACTCCATTGAGCTATAAAGTATATACTATCTTTCTGCCTTTAATCCAAGCTGGAAACTACAAAACTTTTTTAGGTGAATAAACTCTCACGCAAGTTACATAAAGATGCATACCTAGTTGTGTTGAAGAATGCACATATTTTTAAAAGACTGAGCACTTAAACTGAAGCGAAGTATGATGTTTTTAATAAAATGAAATATTATGTGTTAATTAATATGAAAATATGTTTGAACATATCACTGGGACAATCAAGACTTTAAAATCACTTAAAACCAGAAGGAAATGCACTGCATTTAAACTACAATAGACTTTTATTAAACTGACGCTTTCCAAGTAAGATCTTACCAAAAGATTCTAACCATAAAATATCTCTTTCAATACTGTTAATGAACAACATTCAGAACAAATTTCTTCATGGCTCCATCGACAGATCTCATGCAGGAGTTATGGAAAGAGACATCAAAGGCTATCTTACTAGACGATGGTTGGTGCAATCACTCACACTTCCATGTGTACAGTGAGCATGAGAGAGAAATGTGTGTGAAAGAAGCACAGAGAACCAAGATTAATTTATACAGTCAAGAAACATGAAGTGAAAGAAAAATTTAAACTAACTGACAGCTCTTCTCCTTTGCTATTCTGAAATGGTGCTATATGAGAGAAGACAAAAGAGTAAGAATGGGAACATTTTCTACTTTTTCTTAAAAGGTTTACAAAATTTGAATGAAAAAATTAAGTTGTTTTAAAATCTATATATCCATTTGTGGAAAAGGCTATTTTTTAATGGTACTACTGAACTGTTTTCTTTTCAGATCTTCTTTTGTATACATGATGTCAAGAATGTCTGATAAATTCTTAAGGAAAAAGAAAAAAAACTTATTTTAAAATATTATAAATTTCTTTAATGGAAACATTTGTATTGCTTACCATATTAGGAAACCAAATCTAATTAAAATACTATATTAAAATTTTAAATGTCCATTTATATACTTTAAATACCGAAAATTATAAGGATAGAGGAAGATTTTTACAGAAATAAGAAAATATTTAAGGAAAATACATCTGAATGGCTATTTATGGATGTAATGTCATAAGAGTTTACAAGCTCTATTAGTAATTCAAAAGTATATTTACAATAGATCACTTGAGGATCCAAAAAGATGTATAAATACATACGAAAGTTAATATTTAATAATGTGACTTTATGTGAGGATCAAATGAACTCTAGCAGTATTTGCCATATATGTGTGTGTATATGTATATATATGTGATACATGTGTATATATATATATATATACGTGGAATTATTAAAAATCACATTTTATTTCTCTCATTCTCTATGCACATTTCACTAGATCCAAACTGCAAAAGTAGGATGATAATTCAAAGAAATACAGATTGTATGTCATCTAGTTATGTTTGACTCTTTAAAGACTAAAATGTGCACTATGGATTCTTAAAAGTAAGTCTTAAATGAAAATGAAACAAAAGTATACTACACTCCCCAGTTTACATATAGTCTATGTTCACCTGCTTTTTCTTTTTTAAACAAAATATGTTTTTAAAAAAGAACAGGAACCCTTAGGTTATTCATGATTTTCCAAATGAAGTTAAATTTTCACCTTCCTTTTACTATGCATATAGGTGAGATTCGGGGTCATTAAAAACTTTCTGAGAAAAGAGATTTCTAATAGTGCGCTCTTCATTCACAAATGACCTCTTTGTTAGTAAATTTGACATACAGTTTTCTGATCTTTTTTTCTTTTTTACTTTGCAACCACTTTCCACTTGCTTTAAACTCCCTCTTCCACTGACTTCTGTACAATCATACTCCTAGTTTTCTTCCTACCTTTCTAGCTGCTCCTCCATCTTCCATCTAAGCACCACCCATCTTCTAGAAGTCCACCCTGCCCTCGGCTTACTCTGTATGTTCTCCTTGGGTAAGGTCACCCTCTCCTACATCTCTCAGCTCAGGGCTGTAAACCCAACTGCCAAATAGACACCTTGGCTTATACGCTCTTCAAATTCAGTACAAGCACAACAGAATCACCATCTGAACTCCCCACACAGCACCCAAAGCAATACTCCAGTGTACTATACAACTTAGGTAATGGTACTATCATCCAGCTAGGTGTCCAAGCCAGAAATTAAATTATCCTTGATCTCGTCTCTCTCAGCAACCTTCATTGCCCCATCATACAATCACCAAACCCCATGAGCTTCTCTTCCTCCTGATTCAACTGTATCTCAACATTTTTAACTTGGATTACTATTCCAAACTCCCAACATGACTTCTGGCTTCAAATCTATTCTCCAAATCACCACCAGAGGATCTATGTAAAACGTAACTCTGATGACAAGCAGCTTCCTAAGCTCTGACAGTAAGGTTTAAATAGCTTTCTCTCTCACCATCTCACCACAACACACACGCACCCTGAATTACAACCGTGATAACCAACTTGCAGCTTCCTCCAAAACTCTATGCTCTTATTCTCATACCCTGTTTCTTCTAACTAAATACCTTTGTCCTATTTCTTCACCTGACTATTTTACCCATTTTTCTTTTTTTTTAAGATTTATTTTTTTATTTTTCCTTCTCCCCAAAGCCCCCCAGTACATAGTTGTATATTTTAATTGTGAGTCCTTCTAGTTGTGGCATGTGAGATGCCTGATGAGCAGTGCCATGTCCATGCCTAGGATCAAAACCGGCGAAACCCTGGGCCACCAAAGCAGAGTGAGTGAACTTAACCACTCAGCCATGGGGCCAGCCCCTTTTACCCATTTTTCAAAATTCAGCTTAAATACCATCTGGTCCCCAAAGCAGACTTGATTCCCTCCTTGACTTGACTATCCTCCTCCCTACTAATGTGGGGTAGGTGCCTCTCCTGTGGGGCCCTGGACATCCTAATCACACAGTCTCATAGCCCTATATTTATAGGTCTGTCTCCCCTACTGGATTACAAACTTTTGGGGAACAAGGAAACATATCTTGTTTGCCTTAGAATCAGCAGTGACTAGGCTAGAACTTAACACTGTGAATACACAAATTTTGTTCACTGAATTAAAAATTAATTTTACATTTTTGTAATAATCTGATTTTTTTCAGGTACCTTATTCCCATTTCAATATTTTATATTACTCCCTAACAAATTCTTGAAATTCTATAATATTTTCTCAATAAGTTGAGCAATATATTAAAGTTTTACTGTTATATCTATTTTAGAACCTGCCATCTGAAAACACTTGATCACAATTTAGCAGCATGAAAAATTAATCTCACAGTTTTAAAGCAATAAGAGAATCCTCTTGTGACATTTAGTTGCGCCTTGCAACAAAACTCTTGGTAAAAGCACTAGAAAATAAAAGTACTAAGAAATACAGCTTTTCCCACAGCAGATTCACCACATGTTCAAGATGCAGACATTACAGACCTTCTACAGAAGTTCCAGCTACTACTATTTAATTTTCCTAAAAGATTAACAGGCTAAAACTAAAATGACATTAGTAAGCTTTCTTAGGTATTTAAAATAATATGCATGGGCCAGCCCCGGTGGCCTGATGGTTAAGTTCAGCATGCTCTGCTTCGGCAACCTGGGTTCGGTTCCCAGGTGTGCTCTGTTAGCAGTCATGCTATGCTGGTGGCCCACATACTAAAAAGAAAATAGAGGGAAGACTGACATGGATGTTAGCTCAGGGCAAATCTCCCTCAGCAAAAAAAATAAAAATAAAATAATGCACATTTTTGAGATTTAATAACTCAAATATGTAAAATACAAAATATATACTACAACTAACAAAGATATTTCTTAATAAAAAGAAAAACCATCTTTCAATTGTTGCATGCCACATTTTGAAATCAACCTTAAAGCTTATAAAATTCCTACTCTTTTGGGAAATGGCAGAATAGTAGCCAACCAAATTTTCAACCAATTTAAAACCACACTTCTAGCTAAAAGAAATACAGCTCTATCAATCTTAGCAACAAGTTATATCTCTTGAGTGTAACTTTAAAACATTTCAAAGTTATATAGTGAATTTCACTTCATGCAATTTCTAACTAAATGAGCAACAAAAATCAACCAAGATACTAAGCCAATACCTGGACTTATTGAGCAGAGCAACAGAACCGAGGTATAACCAAGAGAGGCCTCACTCATCTTATTGATGAAGTGAGCCTCCACACACTGGGCCTGTCATGCCAGGTGTTCATGTTGAGAAGCCACCACAACCCGATTCGGCACGCCACTACACAGTTTAATGGACATAATAGCTTCAGTCAAAGTCAATTTCTTTTGAAGATGTGTATCTTAGAATCAAATAGATTTCACTTCAAGACAGAATCATTACTGAATGCATATCAACATGTAGCTGAGTACAAGAAGTTTAAAAGAAAAATCTTGAAAGAACTCAGAAGCATAGTCTAAAACTTAAATGAAATGCAATATTCTCCTTACCACCTCCACACATCTCAAACTAAAACTTAACATAAAAAGAAATCTTAATTTCTAGACTGCTTTAAAAAATCATCTCTTCATTTTAAAAAAAAGATAAACTTGATTACTAAATCCAGCCTCAAGCCAAAATATATTTTGTCTAATCCTGAAAGGCTTCATTCAACCTATTTTCAAGGAAGGAATGCTGAGGTGACCATGTAAAAATACAGCCTAATCCTTACAATTAAAACGTAAGAAACCAGTGTGGATTCCCTTGAAACTACTTTAACATTAATTAATTACTATTTGAATAGTCTGCCTAAATTGTCAATGTTCACAAATGACCAACACATTCTCTGGACCTTGGGAAATAGCCTATCAATGATGTGGTAGGTCTGACTACGATGTCTCAAAGAGGCACATTTCAGTGCATACAGAATACATTATTACTGTCAATACACATCCAAGTCATTTAGAGGGATGAGTCCATTTACCCACACCGTTGTCTTCTGGCTTTAAACGGGTCTCAAGCCACAACGAAACATTCTTCACCATTCTAATGGTAACTAGGGTTTGCTTTGATGACTGGTACTGACTGAACAGACAAACAAAATGACCCAATCAGACAAACCAGAGTACGGCCCAAGGACCAAATCCAACCTTCAGGCCTGTTTCTGTATAGCCCTTGACTAAGAGTGGTTTCTACAAAAATAAAAAAACAAAACAAAGAAAATACACAACAAAGAGCCTATGGAGTCCACAAAACCTCAAATATTTACTTGCTGGCTCTTTACAGAAGTTTGCTGATCCTTACCCTAGAGGACAGTCTAGGAGCTGCATACAAACCTCCCCCAAATCCATTTTTTAAAACATATCTGTTACGTTATTTTTGTGCTTAAGGAATTAACAATCAAATGTGAACTAAATTCAAAGCAACAATAAAATGTATTATAAATATTACGGTTAAAGAGTAAAGGAGAAAACAGAAAATAAACTGCTTTTTAAGCAATGTATGAAACTTTGTCAAAGACGTTTGAAAATCCTTACGATTTATGTCCATTATTTGTCCCTTGTCTACCCGCTTACAGATACCCTCTGAAAAAACTATCTAATAAATAATAGGATTTGCTTCTTTAAGTATGTGCACCAGTTCTATATTGTTCTTCACCAAATTTTACAAGCCTGGCAAATTCAGAAGTATAATTTACCAGCCTTCACATCCAGGGTTACCTTTGGGCGAGAGAATCACTGGAAATTTTCCAGAATACTCTGACACAGTAACTATCTGCTGTCATCTTAGACACATGGCAATAAATTCTCATTTCTATCTTTAAGATCCTTCAAAACTCTTGTGCAGTTGGCACATATAACACATCAAAAGTGATCCCACAGATTGATATTCAATTAGTAAATATACCTATTTGAGTCAATAACTATGATCTAATTTTAATTTAAAAAATAGAGAAAGCTCAGATGTTCCTATGAAAAGACTATACACTATTTTACCACTGTCTTACCATAATCTTTCTTTTCATATCTAAGGGCAATTTGATACCATGATCATCAAGTATTGCAACTGATAATGTGTTAGTTTCCTTTCTATTTCTTTGTTTGCTTTTTCTTACTATAATAGTAATAATAAGTAGTCATTGTAGGACATTTTGAAAATAGAGAAAACTATTGGAACATAAAAATCACCTGTAATTCCAATCAAAACTTTGTTTTAACTCTGATATTTTTATATACAAATACATACATCTGTGCATATATACATATACACAAAACTAGAATTGCAGTGGATAAGGTTTCATAACGAGCATATTTCCCGTTAATATTATATCATGACCATCTGCACTGTATTAAAAATTCTTGCATAGTGGTCTTTCCTAAGGGAAAGGAATCTATGATAATGTAAATAATATATATGAATACTAATAATGTGAACAACATAAATGACACAAGCCATTGTCCTAGTTATTTAATAACTGGCCATTTCATTAGAACTGTCTATAGACACACTTAAAAAGTCTTTTTAAGAAACCATCAATGGGCCAGGATTTAAAGTCTCAGAGTAATGAAAAATGAATTATACAGTGACTTTGTAAATTTTACATATATTTAATTAGAAATTAGATACTTCCCAAAAGTTAGATGATATTTAATCTATAAATAGAGTAACACAAGGTGTTTCTAAGTTTTCACTTTTTCTTTAGTAACATCCCTTAATGAGTATTCAGTGTCTACTAATAATACTGATGATATGGTACCAATAAGGCAGCCTGGAAAAGAAAAATCTGTCAGTTAGGCTGTATTTAAAGGGAAAACTGCCTATAAAAATGTTTTCATGTCTCATAACTGTGGTTCAATTTTTAAGGCTTGCTCCTATTTTATCTAAAAAGTAGAATTTTACTACCAAATACAACAACTATTTCATTAACATTTCCTTCACTCGAACTTTCATTTCTAAGATCACTTTTCCTATAACGACTCAAATAAACATTTGGTCTTAACCTATGGCACATGGAAAAAATGTAAAATATGTTAAAGCTTTTTATAAACTGCTATAAAGGTATTTTATTATTATCAAATAGTTTTCCTAAATATTTAAATAGTTTCATTCTTAAAATTACTTTTCAAAATATGTGGCCTTTTTCAGTTTTTGTACCTTTTCACAGTAAATATTCATTGAATGCTTGCTCTGACTAACATTAACAGAAACCTTCTGAAGAGCAGGAACCACATGTTACACTCCCAGCACGTGGCAGCCTCGTGGAAATGAAGTAGGTACTGAACACCAGGGTCGCCAAGATAAGTGAGACACAGTTCTTGCCTTAAGAAGCTCATATACAGCTACTGAATTTAACAGCTATTGAATAACACTCATTTTACTACCTGTCTGTATTTAGGCACACCTCCATTTTAAAAATGAAAAATACCACCCCAAGAGGAGATTAAAAAAAGAAGAAAAGTATTTCTAAAGTAACTTACTTGCTGACTTCTTTATACTGGGCTATCTCCTCAATATAAAGAAGGTCATGCAACCGCGACTGATAGTTGGTCTTGGTCAATGATTTGTCTAAAACGGACTGAGTAAACAGCTGGTCAGCAGAGAGAGGAATTTGGTATCTGATAAGAAGGCTCTTCTCCAAATCAGTAGTTTCATTAGGTTCAAAATCTATAATAGTCTTAGAAGAAGCATCCCAGCGCTTAGCTGTGGTTACTAGCTGTTGTTTTGCGTGCATCAGGTATTCAAGATCTAAATGGGAAGAAAAAACACATTTATAAAGGAACACAACATTAAAATTTTCAATAATACATTATACATTTTGGTAAGAGAATTTTACCTGCTAGAGCAAAAATTCTTAAAAACAAAACAATCCAAGAACCTATTTGACAGACTATTTTTCCCAAATCAGAAATATTTTTTAGTCTAGCTCAACAAAATAACATAAATAGGAATCCATGTAAAAAACATCTTATTTTTACATCAGCCTAGGACATAATAGCAACACTTATTAACATTTTAAAAATACAGATTAACATTTAGAACTTAACTCTTCACTCAAGAGAAATCTGATCTGCAAGGAGATGTGATAAATTCCTCATAAGACAAAATCTACCAGGTTATAATCATTTTTCTCTTCCTACTAGCAATACCCGCCCCATTACAGAAAGAGAAGATCAGAAACTGTGAAAGGTTAAATCTTTTCTTGTACAGTAAAGCACAGTGAAACCCTCTGAAAGTCAACTTAAGACAAACAAAAATTTTTTCAAAAATATTCATGTAAAACACTGCTAATTCCACATTAAAATGGAATACGATGTACCAAACGTCATTTGTACAGAAAAATTTCTATATGCCATTGTACAGAAAAATCCAGTTTAGCCTCAGTTAAATTATACTGTAAGTAGGACACAATATCAAAATGAATGACTGTTCAAGTTCTGACATCTCTGAAAAAAATGTAGTATGATGCCAGCACAGGGTGAAATACATCGAACATAATCTGAGCACTAGTAGGCTCACTCTATCTGCAGTGCATGTTACTTTTCTATTGGGTCTAAGACACATACACCTACAAATATGAAACTTAACCAAAAGGAAAAGAAGTTGTTTAACCGACTCATTAGGCCAAAGATCCAGTGTTAATACAACATAATTGGAAAGATGGTTTCACAACACAAGCTAAAATTTTAGGAAGAAATAATAAAAAATTTAAAGAAAGACCAGTTAATCTCCAAAGTACAAGACAGATGATTCTGTATTATCTTTGAAATGAGAGTCTAATGCATAATTGCCATGTCTTGCTTAGTGAGAGATTTTGCTATATTTAAATGTTACATACAAATTATAAACATATATGTATAGTTACCCACCAAGACAAACTTCTTGATAGTAGAAAATAGCTTATTCTAATATCTTAATAAAGGTTAAAACATAAAGGCCCTAATTTAAATGTAAAAACGTACAGAAATAAAGTCCCTAATTTCTAACCCTTGCTCCTTGAAAACGCATTTTTACACGCCTGTTTTATTATTTCTCAAATGGCAACACAAATGTAACTATAATCATCATGATATAAAGATGGTCTGCTTATTAAAAATTTGCATTTTTAAAATACTCTGGATAAGACAATGATGGTCTGTTTTTGCAATGGCCTCACAAGCAGAAGTTTCATAAAGTAAACTACATTTTCTTTCTAAATCACTCTAAAAATTGAGTCCTGCCTACTCATCATTAGATCATGCCTACAAAAAATATTTAAATTATACAAATTCCAACATTCCCAAAACAGACTGTACCATCCTAAAAGATCAGACACTAATTATTATCAAAACACCAAGGAGGCACATAATTATCTTCCTTAATTCAAAAGTCAAAAAGAGAAATAGCAATGGTACAGTGACAAACCAAATAACCAGCTCTTTAAAAACAATAAATAAATATATAAACTCTACATAATAATGAAGAATCTACTAATGTTATAAAATGATGTCTAACTACTCTTTGGGGATGGGAGAATTATATTTCATAATTTTATTTTAAATAAGAAATTGATTCAGACTATGCCTAGATCAATATTATGTTTACATTCTTTAAAAACTCACTAGTTGGGGACGGCCTGGTGGCATAGCAAGTTAAGTTCACACGCTCCACTTCGGTGGCCTGGGGTTCCTGGGTTTGGATCCCAGGCGTGGACCTACACACCACTCACCAAACCATGCTGAGGCAGCATGCCACACACAAAAAATAGAGGAAGATTGGCACAGGTGTTAGCTCAGGGCCAATATTCCTCTCTCACACACAAAACATCACTAGTTATTCCTAACTGATGTTTAAGTAACTGGGATAATAACAAGCCTAAAACTATAGTTTTTCCTTGAAAATGCTTTTTCTATCACCTATTTAATATGCAAAGCAAATTATACAGAAAGTCTTTCTACTCTGGGCTAGAAGTATTCAGGCTTTTTGCATGAGAAGTTGCATGAGAAATAGTATTTGTTTTTCTCATTTCATCTATGTAGTACCATGATTCCCATCCTAATTTTATTAAATTCTCAAAATTAGTGTCTTCAGCAGGTAGCACAATAATTTCAAAACAATTCCAAAACAATGTTAAATTGTACTCCATTTATTTTTGTAAATGACCATAAACACAGTACAGGGGAGGAGAGATCTAGGGGAGCAGAAAGAAGAACTTTGAAAAAACTCCGTTATGTGCCAGCATCAAAGTTTACAAACTACTGATCTCAGTCATTACATTAGATGTCAAAAATGAACTGTGGCCAGTGACAACTAAGGATATTTTTTGCAAAAACCACTTCTCTTTCTCTACTTCATCTGACTGAACTTAAGACAAACTTCTGCCTCCAATCCTCTCACTTGTGAGAAGAAGCTTATTAAACCCGTTTGATTACCCACCTAACGTACAGTGCTTAAAGGTCATCAGGTTTTGAGAGTTCCTCTTTAAATAGAGGAGGGAGACAAGGTTCCCCCACAGGGACACTGGACTTTACTACTGGGGCTCATTTCACCCCCACCTGCAGCGCATGCATACCTGCTAACATCTAAACCAGACATACGTACTACTCAGGGTAGCCTGAGCCACTTCATCCTTGGTAAGCACTTTTCTTCAACCTAGATTCGGCTAAAATGAAAAACACTATGGAAAGATGAAAAGTGAACCAGTTAGGATCAATCCTCATAAAATCATGTAGGAAGAGTTTAATACTGACTTGTTAACCAATTCTTACAATAATAAATCTCAAAGCAAACCTGACATAAATTATGAACCTATGGAATTTGTTACCCTGAGACGAGGTAGGCAGAAGCTATAAATATATTCCAGAGAAATTCATAAGAGAAATTTAAAGATAATTAGAATACATCCAATTTTTTGAAGATAACATAAAGGAAGAGCTGCTACTGCCAAAAATAGAATTCAAGGTCGGAGTAACTGCTCTGACACAAGACACCCTTCCCAACTTCCCTTGCCCTTCTGATCACTGAGAACAGCAGTGCTCTCCTTTCAGCCACATAGTTACTACTCTAATAGAGCATCCAAAGGGTTAGTTTGTTTTGTCTTGAAGTATGTAGCACAGCAGACTTGAAAATTATTCTTAACAGGACCTGAGGAGTGGGTAAGAAGAAAGTAAGGAGAAAAAAAACCCCAATGTTCTATGTACCCAGAACAAGGGCAGACACAGAAGAGGTACGCAATAAATTACATGTTAAACATGGAATTTATTAAAAACACCTATATTTAGGCCTTAAAGAGAATGAGATGAAGTGATTCCTAATTCCAAAATCAGATGCCACACTGTTCCCTAGGAAACAAATCTTGACTGCCCAAATTAATAATAAAATAAACTCCAAAAGTAATCCCAAACTACCATTTCAGCGCTCCATTTCGACATCGTTCCTGTCACCAAAACTGCTACAGAGAAGCAAGATGAACATCTCTTAGCTTATCCCTGTTGTCTGTCCCTATTCTTCATCTCTTAACAAGGCTAATAAAAAGTTAAAACAGTACAGGCATACCTCATACTTTTTATATTCTTCTCAGTTGCACTTATCTTTTATTGACAAATATACTATTTTTAAAATCTATTTTTCTATTACTTTTCTATCACATAACATAAAATGTTATATATTTAATATATAGGACATGTCCTTAATTTATCAATGAGTTTGGCAACTGGAGATCAGTTTTAAGCCATACTAAATGTTAATGTTAATGTTAACATATACTGCTAGAGTATACAAAGTAGAGAAAAGATGTTTTCAAATTTAAATATAAGAACTAATTTTCAACATGCAGCTTCCAGATACTCAAAGGAGAATTCCAAACCAACTTGGCCAAGCAAAAGTTTTCCATTACTCAAAGTTGTGGTATAAAGTATATAATGCAGTCTATTTTCTAAGCAAAGGGAAACCTCACTACCTTTCCTGAGAGGCTTATCTTCAATTAAAAAAAAAAATGATTAGTACATATAGTGTCTTTCTCTGAACTTCAATCTCACCAACAAGGGAAAAACACCGAAAAAAGCAAAGTTAAAATTATACACATTTCCTAAACAGTTTGCAAGATTGCCATATAACGATTAGAGAAAAAGAAATTCATTCACAGCTCACAAATAGAAAAGGTTTGGATGCGTTAGAGATCATGACAATAAGGTCAAAAAACCCCACACGACTGAGGGGGTTTTTTTCTCAGTTCAAACTTAAATTAAAGAAAGGAGGATTTTTAGTTCAATACTGAACAATGAATTAGAAAAAGAAATGTCTACTATGTAACTTGATTTTACATTTCAAGGAGTAATGCACTAATGTAACTAAGTTCCATGATCAAATCAGTTTGACAGACACTGAGCCTTTAATTACTGAGGTGCACTGTGTGAGTTTCTAAGAGGAAAATAAAGCATTCACCATTTCCAAACGTTATTTGTACATGGAACTCTTTACCTATTATTATTATTAATAACACCTATTCATTTCAGTGGAACAGTTTTGGAAACAGTGAGCTAATAGATGGTTCAGCATGGTCCAAATTTATAACTTTACTGAAGAGAAATATGTTTCTAGCGTTAATTGAAGGACAAAAACTTGCTTGAACAATGAACAGCCAATCAAGTGGAAGAAGTGATAAATATAAAGATATTTCCTATTCAAATTCTAGTTTCACACCATCACTACATTTCTTTGTGTGCAGAAACCAAATTATATTATGATATAATTTATAATATTACCAAAACTGTATGGAAACATGATAAAGCCTAGACCTAATTCAACTCCCCAATTCCCAACGGCATTTGGCCAACTTGTACTTGGAATGACACTTTTCTCCCAATTCTAGGCCACGGAAGCTCAAATAATGAATTTGCTGAGGCTGGAGGTGAAATTAGCCAATTTAACAAAGATTTTAAAAATTAAATTGTTAAAAACTTAACAATTTAGATGTTACCAATTTAACAAAGAAGTTCTCTAGCTCTCCACGTCTCTGAACGTTATCCACACAAGTATTCCAGGAAAAGATACAAATAGGAGACAGATATTTTACATTTTTATTGTTTCAGAATGTTTTACAAAATTGTGATTTCACATAAACAAATCTTTTGCCCTCAATTTTTTTGCTGACAAGCACTCTGCTGTAATAATCAAAAACTAACTAACACTAACATGGAAGCAGGAAGCAAATACTATACTGTTTATATCCTGCTTTCATTTCTCCAAAATTCTTTTGGGACTCTGTACATAGTCACACTGAAATAAATATAGTCACACAAGAAAAATCTTAAGAACTTAACAAAAACATCAAGATATTCAATGACAATGATTTTAAGAGTAGGGAAAATATCAAAGAGAGAACTAAAAATTAACAAAACAGATCAGCTAATTTACATTGCAAAAAAAAGTCAACCAAATAACATGTAGCCTGTCTAATCCTAGATTTAACTTTTCCTTTTTATGATGTTCAAAATTTCATACCAGAAAACACATTTTGTACATTTTATACTGTTCTCTTGTAATATTTATTTTTCCTCTGCCCTTGAAAAAAAAATTTCACTATGTGAAATTGTTTTAATGTTTCCACATTAGTTCAAGAAAATGCTTGTTTTCTTTCAATTATTTTCCATAACATAACTACTTAGAAGTAAAACCTGTATAAAGGAAAATAGGCAAAGATATCAAACCATAAAGAGATCACTAAAAAAAAAAGAGTATTATAAAAAAAGAGGGAAGGTATAATATTGGTTCCAAATGAGAGGAAATCCTGGTCTGTATTAATTTTCTCTATAATATCTGAATGAAATATAAAATTGATCATATTTAAAACTGATATATTAGAAACATCAGAAATGAGACTATTTATTCCCTCCAGTTACCATTCTCAAAACATCAGTTATCTTGGACAACTTCTCTTCCACCCCCTCTACTGCATTCTCTTGCCAAGATCTGTAGGTGCTGTGGCCTTAATGACTCAGTTCTTTATCTCTGCTTTTCAGTCCCTCTGTTAGGCCCCTAAGGATCTCAGTTCTCCTTTAAAAAAAACAAAAAAAGTTCTTCTCTCTTCCTACTTTCTTCATTCTGTTTGTAAGCCAGAAGTTATCCCAATCATGACTAATGATAAAAAATAGTAGCTACTATTTACCTAAATGCCTACTATGAGCCAGGTATTGTACAAGGCTTATTTCTAGTTCTCATGATAATCCTCTAAGACAGAAATTACTAGGCCCATTTTACGGATGTTTCCACACAAAGCTCAGAGATGTTAAATACTCTGCCCAGTGTCACACAGGCACATAATTAGAAAATCAGGACTCAAATCCAATCCTATTTGACTCTGAAGTCTGTCCACTGCTCTTTTTTCCAAGTAGAAAAATAGCACATATCTGAGGCGAAAGTACCCTCAATTTCTCAAGCCCATGAGGGTGCCCTGAAATCATCTTCATCAACCTTCCCTCATTATCATCTGTTTAGTAGTAGCATTTTCTCCTACTTTTTATTGCAGACATTTAATATTTTACATTATTAATTTAAAAGATTTTTATTAACCAGTATAGATTCTTGACAACACTTACAAACTATTTCTATGGGAAATGAGTCATGAGTTACACACCACCAACCTAAAAAGCAAACTTTTAAAATACAACCCACAGGTAAGCCAAGAACATCTTTTCAGACTTCTCTTTGAGAGCAGGGGAAGCATGTCGGTCTTTCTTTATGATTCAAATCTCCTTATGATTTAAAAAGAGTGCTTCCCAGTAAGTATCAAGTTCAAGCCTCTAAGAGCAACTTACTAGTAGGGTAGGCAAACCATGGCAGGCAAGACGAACACAGCCCGCTCTTGTTTTTGAAAATAAAGTTTTATTGGAACACAGTCAGGCCCATTCCTTTACAGATTATCCATGGCTGCTTTCTCACTACAATGCAGAGCTGAGTAATTGCAACAGTGACCATCTGCCCTGCACCATCTAAAATATTTACTACCTGGCTCTTTACAGAAGAAATCTGCCAACTAAGACCTTTACTAGTAAATATAAACTAAATATTTTTATTTTGTCAACTACCATATCCATTTAGCCACAGGAATTAACATATTTTGATTCCAAAGAGTACTAAGAAGATGACAAAAACAGAATACAACAGAATAAAAACAGGTAAAAGAGATAAAAGTGAAAAATAAGGGTAAAATGAAGTCTGAGTAATATCAGCACATATACAAGAAGGTAATGGCTAATTGTTCAATTTAGGCACAAATGTTGCTTTAACCTTACTAGTAGCTAAAGTAAAAAAGGAGACAGAACCAGTTCCACCTGGTTCACTGCCTACAAAAAATAAAATCCTAGCATTTGTTCATGAAAAAAACAGCTTCCAGGTTCTCATAAATAGGACCCTGGTACATAGTGAAAAACATCTTCCACAAAATGGTTAGCCACAGTCAATGCAATAGCAAGTTTCATACAGCTCTGCTACATGAAGTGTGTGTTAAATAAAATAAAGCACCTATAAATCTGACCAAGAGCCAAAGAAATGTAGTCTAACGTGCCCTTTCTTTGTCCTGCTGGATCTTGGCATAAAATTTAGGTATAGGCAGTAATATGACAACATACAAAGTAATTCATCATCTTCTGTAGATGCTTACACGTTGAAACCAGGGATCTCTTCCCAAGAATACAGAACAGATCCTACTAAAGGCACCTTGGTCTCCTTCGCACTAGTGAATGTACAAAACCAACTTATGAAAGTGTGTATTTAGGACTTTCATTCAGAGACAAGGTACTAATGTCAGCAAAGTTAACTGGACAGTCAGGCAGACACAGACTGACACTGTAGGTGCATTCACAATTACCATTAAAATGATACTCTACGCAAACTGATATTGAAAGCTTTTACTGTGCTAAAATCATCTTACTTTAAAAATGAAGTTGATAGAACAAAACAGACCTGATCATCTACTCATACAACTTTGGAGAACCTCAAAGCAAGCTTTGACTGATGACTGTATAAAGAGAACAGGGCATAACATGAACCGTTCTAATCCCATTACACAGTAAATGAGTCAATTAACTTGGGATTTTTTCCTTATTCTTCCCCCTCTATCCATGAAACATTTAGGGGGCCAATACATTTCTTTTAACATTGCTATTACAGTGTCTTTTAATACATTGTAGCAGGGGAAAAAAGTCTAATATTACCTTCTGTAGAAGCTGCATCAATCATTACTCTTTGCATGAGTACTGGTTCCAATCCAAAGTCGAAAACTATGGTTTGGCGAAAAGTTCCAAATATTTCTGTGTTAAATGCTATCCCGACTTTATACACGTAATGATCTAATCCATTTTGGGCCATCTTTCCTCCTATCCATTCTTGACAGTTTTCTGGGACTTCTTGTGATACCTGGGTAGTACTATCTCCGGCAGATATGGCAATGATACTAAAATGAGGACGATGAGCATCATAAAGCAATGCTACACGATACAGCATTCTTGCAGGCTACAAGGAAGTTAAAATAGTTCATTGAGTACAATGGGGTGAAAAATCCAATTGTAAGTGGGCTCTTCAATGAAAATATTTCCATAAAGGATTTTTACTTTCCCATGCTTAAGATACTATGTTAAAAACACAAATTGTGCTCATAAGCCATTTAAGAAAAAAAAAATCAGCTGTTAAAATGATATACTTATGATGCCCCAATAAAGCTGAAATTTTCAAAAATGATATCTTTATGCTACATCACTAGCTTCCCTGCTCTTTCCATGCTCATCTTTCATTGTGGCAAAAGCTATCACCCTATATCACCACCAACCTCCAACTTTCCATACCTTTGGCCTAAAAAGTTTTATCTAGCCTCAAATAGGAAGTCTTCATAGGAGGGTAGTTACCTCTGAAGGCACTGGATTGGGTTCAAGGCCAACGCTAAATGTTCCCACATTTTTCATCCCAAGATGCAGATGGTACAGTGGAAGAAACACCACCAAAAAGTACACAAAACTTGTCCAAATTTTTGACTTTGCTTCACTCTTAAACTTTGAATATGATAATTCAAGATGGGAAGCACTGCAGAAAATGTCTCATATTAAAAACCCATTATTACAGAATTTGTGATTTCATAAGATCAAACACAAAAATAAGGTGTCATAGTTTAAATATCTTAGAACCACCAAATTAAATAATTCAAGTTTTAAATGGTTAATTATAAGCCATGAACCCCATCCTGTGTTCCAAGTTTGGAGGACAATATGTTGAAGACCTCTTTACCAAATAAATAAAATAAGCAAGCATCTAAACGTCTACAAAGACTTATCTCAAAGTCTAAAAAAAGCCGTACCTTTAGTGATCAAAATACAGAAATACTCTTTAGCACAATATAGAACATATATAAAATGTACTTAGATTAAAACATTTTCAGCGCTCTTTTAACATGAGATTTAAAGGTCTAAAAAAGCTTTAAGAAACTTTACATTCTTTAATTAGCACAAAATTCGTACCTTACACGTGAGAGCAAAAGTCCACGTCTGGTGAGATTTTTTGGTGTTGACAGTAACCGACAGATCAGGATTATGCTCTACCTTAATTCCTTCTATACATTCACTAAGCTGAAAACAGAGAGCAGTTAATGTTACATTTTTATTCCTAAAAGCACAAAAACTTTTGGCATGGCAAATAAATGTCAACAGTAAAGATGTTGATGGAACTGTTTACAAAGCAAGGTATTTCATACATTAATTTTCAGTTATTTTTATAAGAACAAAATATAATATAGCTAAAACAAGAGACAGAAGAAAATTAACAACCCAAAAAATGGCAGTAAAAACTCCCTGAATAAAGATAAATTAATGTAATACCTGCAAGTCTCCAAACAAACAGCTTAGTTCTGCTTTTATTTTAGCAAATGGGTCTACTTTTGCTACTAAAAATACTTTATCAAGAATCAAGGTTTTCATATAGAGGATAAGGAAATAAACCAAAACATAGCACAAAATAAAGTCAAGACTGAAACAAGGTCATTGTTTAAAACAAACAAACAAAAAAATGCAGTTTATTTTCCTCACCACTTTCTCAGGAGATAATGAATTCATCCACTTTTCTATCAAGGTTTCCATGTAACTGCCTGAGAGCTGTTTATTCTCATTTTGCTGTTTCAATTTTATCAACCGTGAAGCATATCTTTTCTGCCATTCTGCTAGTTCTTCCTGGGAATGTGCTGAAGTACACTGGGCACCATACCTACAGATTCCTTGCTCTAAAAATCTAAGTAGAATAGGAAAGACTGTTTTATCATATACTTTGTTGGACCACTTAAAAGATAAACTTCCAGCATTTGCCCTCCAACTCTTCAACAACAAAAACAAAACTTCATCTCCTGAAAAGCCATATTTTTCACACTGTCTTGCACAGAAGAGGAAGAAGAGGTTTAGAGAACATTTACAACAGTTAAAACAGCGCCTCCCCATATTCACTCACCTCTGTCTCTGGAATACCGGGATGCTGAAGCCGAACATCATCATAACCTGTCCCCCTCCCCCAAGCAAAAGCCAGCATTGAAAAGGTAGCTTCCTTCGTAATACAACAACTCCACTAGAAAATTCTTCTAAAGCAACACTGACATCAAGTGGATTAGTTCATCAAACACAGGTATGCCCTACTTCCCACAATGAAAGGACCTAAAGAAAATTTTCCACATACTGGGAATTTCATTCTGAAAAAATTTAACATACTATTAAATTATCATTTTAGGGCTTTTACTTTCCAACTTCAAATGTAATGCCTTTATTCTTTTCTGCCTTACTATTTCCTGTATTTCACTGAAAATATTGGACTATATTAATTTGCTTGAAGTTTTAAATAAATTAAGAATAAAAGTTTTATGTTAGAATCACAATTCAATAATTAGATTAAATTCTTCAATGGGTAAATTCATAAATGTTCATTTTAAAGGATAAAGAGTTAATGATTTCTCAATGTTTATGACTCATAAAATTCAGTTGACAATTCAGTGGTCAAAAACAGATAAAAACGCAAAACTTTGACCATTAATTTTTTTAAGTTTTAAATACCCAGCAAAATTATGGGTCCAGCTATTATTTAACAATTCAAAAATTAAAAAATTAATATAAGATCTTTTGAGAGAATAAACAAAAATTAAACCATAAGCGGCAAAACAGAGGCAAGAGAGATATTATACCATAAGTTATCTAGAAAAATATGGATAGTAAGAAATGCAAAAGGAATGACAGCACAATGTAAATTATCAAATGGTTCACCTTATTTGAAAAGATGAGAGTATTTAAAGCTTTTTTGATGATACAAAGCACCTGAACTTAAATTACACTATTTATTAAGATCTCTTATGCTTCATAAGACTCATTGAAAAACCATGCATTTGTTTCTCTTAAGTATGTCTTAATGAGTCAAATATTTGTTTTTCTATTGCTTTCAGTTATTTCCCTAAAAATGGAAGGTCTGATGTTCTCATCCGGACTATAAACTTCCTCACATTTCCTCTGCATGGGACTGTGTTCTGCCTCTCCTATAGCACAAGGCCCCCAGGATTTTCAATATTTACTAATTAGTTTCTTTATTTCTACTACAAAATCAAATCTGATGTCTTCACTATTCCAGCTTCAAAACTATGTACCAAATTTCCTTCATTATCAAAACCAATCTAGAGTAATGAGACTTTATATCTAAAATCCCACTAGTTACTAGTTCTTATAAAAAGAACTGAAGAGTTCACCTTTCTAAATGTGACTTTAGTAATTCTTTCCACTTTACTATATAATTAGTACATTTTGAAAGGTTAGCCCTTCAAATATAAATTACTCATAAATTCTATATATGGATTATATGACGATAATAGATTTTGGTTTTTACAAAAGTTATTAAAATAATTTAACACTTCTTCATCTATTTTATGCTCTATTTCAATTTATATAAAGTAATTTCAATTTCGATCACCATAGCTTAGATAAATTTCACATAAACAAGAGATCAGCAATTAAATTCAGTCATAGTAATACAGCTATTATAAAAGACTGAAACAAAGTCTTAACATCTCCATCTAGATTACTGTTGTAATTAAAAGGAAGCTCATAAATATGGTTTTGACTTTTATTATTTAATGATAATGACCATTATGGCATCTGTTTCAAATGGAAAATAAACTATTTTACTCAGTCATTATACTTCTTCCTTCACATATTATCTTCTTTAAATTTGAATTACTACTTTTCCAAAAGTGAAGGAAATTATCCTTTGAATAAAGACATGTCATTGGTTTAAAAAAAAAATTCACGTTACCTTTTACACAAAGTATATTCCTCGCTGCTTGTGATTCCCCTAGGTGGTGGGCGGAAATGCCAACCATTACAAGATCCTAGAGAGTAATCAGGATATAGTCTTATCATTTGAGGCTTGCTAATAATTCTAAAATTTTAATGTGTAAAAATACTACAAACCCTCCACACACATCATCCCAGATGATGTAGAAAGGATATGACATATTTGCCTCTACCAAAAAAGTAATCTACCAATCAAATGAGTTAAATCAATTAACCACAAGAAACTTAGAAATCACTGAAGAAGCAGTTGCCCAGTAGCTAAATCAAGTCGATGACCCTGACTCTATCCTAGCAAGTGGTGGACACATTTCCAGTGCAGTCTCTTTGCTAACAACTAAAGGAGGGATGTTGGCATGCTTGCCATTTCCTAAGTATGGGATGTGTCTCTATTAGGAATTATTTCAGGAATGACAAAATTACTGTATCCTGGAAGAAAATTTTGTACAAGAAATTCCAGTACTATATCCTCAGTGAGAAGCAGCTCCACATCACCACTCACGTTCTGCACAATTTGTCTGAGACAAATCACTGTATAAAGTCATCCTTTTGTACAATTAAAATAAAGCACAAAAAGTTGAATTCTGAGGTAGGAGCTAAAAAATAACATTTGTTTACTTCTAAATACAATGATCTTTGATTCACTTAGCTAAAAGTTTCCAAATAAACCAAGGAAAATAAAGCTTAGGAGAGAAAAAGCTAGACCTATAGAGGCTGAGCAGTGACAAGTTTTCAAGGACCTTAACAGCCATTTTTCTATTTCCTCACAAGTCACTGTGCCCACCCCCCAAAATAAAGATATTCAGCCAGGTTAAGTTAAAAGCTGTGCGACTGAGAAAATTACTGAACTTTAATAAATATCAGTTTCATCACCTATGGAAAAGAGGGAGAAGGGCTCTAAGTCAGCACAGGCTTTTGTGAAAGCCACTACCCAGTACACAGCATTTAGCAAGCATTCAAAGAATGCTGTATTTCTTCCCTTTCCTCTGGCAAGAAAAAAGGAGATCATGGATTTCAACTGTGTAAGGAACAACCCAGCTTACAGATCAGAACTTCCAAAAAGCAATCATTGTACTAGCCTGCAATAGAGGGGAGAAAAGCACTCCCTCCGCAGATCACTAAGAATGAGTTTTAAATTTAGAACTGCACGGAGGCAAGAGGATGAAGTAGATGACCTCCGGAGTCACCTCCTACCTCCTTACTCCATTATTCTATGAAACGAGGCCAATGAAAAACTTGCTTTCATCCACACTTACTTCTTAACATTAAATTTTTTTTTTTTCTTAAAGACTGGCACCTGAGCTAACAACTGTTGCCAAGCTTCTTTTTTTTTGCTTCCTGCTTTTTTCTCCCCAAATCCCCCCAGTACATAGTTGTATATATTTTAGTCGTGGGTCCTTCTAGCTGTGGCATGTGGGACGCCGCCTCAACATGGCCTAATGAGCGGTGCCATGTCCGCACCCAGGATCCGAACCCTGGGCCGCCGAAGCAGAACACGCGGACTTAACCACTCGGCCACAGGGCCGGCCCCTTAACATTAAATTTTTATATTGTCTCCTACACCTCCACTTACATACACTGTAACTCAGAAAACCTCCTCCCAATAATTAACAAAAAAGCAATGCCCAGATTCACAGCTACCAAAAGTTATACAGAGTTTGGTACTTACCCCCTTCTAAGTCTTCCACATGATATCCAGAGAGGACATTACTAGTTGCTGTCTGCAATTTTTCAAATGAAAGACATTTTTGTAATAAGAAGTAACCAGTTGATGTTGAATTAAACTTGGACATTTTCAACATTTTTCTAAAACAGTGGAATTTGAATACTTAGAAATTTTTAATAAAAACTCATGTTGCAAACCATTTTTTTTTTGCTCTTTGCCCTATGTTAAACTTTACATTTAAATATGGAAAAGAAATCCTTGTGTGGCCCACATTAAGGAAACTGACAGAGATTCCCTACATAAAAATTACCTGGTAGCAAAAGAAGAGAAGTCTAAATCTTCAGTCCTGAACCCCACAGAGTATCACCTTCCATCCATTTACTCATTTCACCCTTCTCTTCCTAACACCTAGAGAATGACCAGCTAGTGAGGTGCCTTTTCTCCTGCGGCAAGTGCAGCACGACCACTTCAGGACCTGAGAGAACGTCCTGCCGAGTTCCCCTCACTCCAGCATGAGCCCTTCTCGGATAATGGAGCCCACAGCTGGGGATCCACTCACTCTGACATCCTGGTTTGCTTGACTCCCTCGGTGCAGAAGAAACCCCAATCTGCCCCTTTGGCTCTAACTTTACTCTAAGCTCCACACTCCCAATCTCAACCGAGTGTCAGCCATGGCATTTTTCTTAACTATTCTATAGCACTTTACATGCTGGATCGTCAGCTATGAACAGATCCATTATCAACAGCCTACAACTGCCCTTCTGCATTCCTGCACCTCACAGCGGATCTGGCACATAATAGGTGCTCAGTAAATGTTGGATGGCTAGGTGAACGGATGGATGATCATCCAAGCACTTCAAATACAATATGGCCAAAAGAAAATTCATCAACTTTACCGCAAATCTTATCCTCCTTCAGTGCGCCTTATCTCAAGTTCATGGATTCATCATCCCCAAGAAGCCACACTGAAATTCTGAAAACCATCTTGAATTCTCCCTTTTCTATCCTGCTCTGAGTATTCTGCAAATATTGCCCAACTAGGTCTAGAATGTCTCTCTTATCTGTCTTATACTCTCTACTCCCACTGCCACTATCCTAGGGAAGGCCCCTGAACCAAATGACTGCCAATCTTAACCTGTACCAAGTCACCTCTGGATGTTTACCTAGCTGCCCCCAACCTTTAACCTCAGTTCCCACACTCCTGCCTCCATGGCTTCCCCACAGAGTGTTAATCTCCCTTTCTGCTTGCACTTCCATTACAGCACTTACTGACCACAGGCTGCCCTGTGGGTACATTAGCTACGTGCATCTCAGACTAGCCCACCAGATTGTTTTTCATGGGTATCTCAGCTTTCCAAAACCCACAAAACTTGAACACCCCAGGTGCTCAGTAAATGCTGAAATGAATCAGAAGGAAGAAAGGTTATCCCAAGACGAAATTTGGAATGTCTTGTACCATAAAAGAATGTCATAAATGCTAACTGGGTATAACTGACACATAATATCATTGTAATTTCTATATGGTTGATTAAACTGGACTTTTTAGGTTAGGCTGGAACTAAATCACTATAACACTGTTTCTGCAGGAAAATGACTTCTGATTCTCAAACTACTTACAACTAAGTTTTTAAAGACAAACCATGTTTTTTATAAAATGAAGACTGAATATAAGAATACATAAGCTAACAAATCAAGAGTAAATGTTCACATTACAAGGATTCTATGTTCACAAAAAAGATACATTAAAAGATCTCTTTAAATTCTATAAGGCAAAGTCTAAATGCCATAGTTCCACACTAGCCCTCAAAATATGATTCCATCTACACAGAATTTATAAATATAAAAGCTAAAAATTCACTTTAAGTATAAATGTAAAACATCTCCTCTAAAAAATTTATCAAAATAAATTTACCAAACATGCAAGAAAAAATAGGAATAAAATGTTTGGGTCATGAAATGAAGCCTAAAGCATTTATAATTGTCGGAAGACAAAAACACATGTTGTGTTTCACAAGTCAGCATCTGCTATGATCTGCAAATGGGCAGAGGATGCCTGTGCTGACACTGCCGTTCTCAGTCTAGTGGGGTCTGGCAAACAGCACATCCTCATCAGAAGAGCTGGTAAAAATGAGAAGCTCTGCCTAGGCTGAGTATTTGGCGACTGTGGCTTTTAGGTTCCAAGGCATTGTTTTTGGTTTGTTTTTTTTTTTTAAAGATTTTATTTTTTCCTTTTTCTCCCCAAAGCCCCCCCGGTACATAGTTGTATATTCTTCGTTGTGCGTCCTTCTAGTTGTGGCATGTGGGACGCCACCCCAGCATGGCCTGATGAGCAGTGCCATGTGTGTGCCCAGGATTCGAACCAATGAAACACTGGGCCGCCTGCAGTGGAGCGCGCGAACTTAACCACTCGGCCACGGGGCCAGCCCCTGTTTTTGGTTTTTTTTTAAACACCCTTTTTATATGCTCAGACCCCAAAGACAGAAGGGCAATACCAATTATCTTATGATCTTCAGTCCTTACTGACACCTTCAGGGAAAGCAGCCAAATTTCATATTGCTAGAATTCCTATAAATTTACCATCAAATCTATTAATTTGATATTTTAAATTTTACTAAAGAATATGTATTGTTTTCGTTTTCACTAGTCAGGCTTTAGTTCCACATCTTTATCCTCAACTACTAGCATTTACAAGTTAAATACCAACTCAGCCTAATCTTTAAATTTGTTGTTTTTAAATACGTCATGTACAATAATAAATAAGGGTAGCATTGTTAGCTTTTTCTAGATGCATTTTTTTTAATAGTATCGGTTCACTAACCAAAAACAATAACACTTTGGTTACATAGAAATTATAAATGAGACTTAAGTCACTTCTTTCAAAAGTACAATCACAAAATAAGAGTCAAGTGATATGTGTACCCTTACATGTAACAGGATTAAAAATATTAAAAATAAAATTTTACATATATTTGTGTGATTATTCAATATATAGCTGATAATTCAATTAAGGCGATAAAACAGAATAAAGCCAAAAATCTTAATAAAATGAAAAGTCATATTACATTCTCATTTTTAAAGTCTAAAGAATTTATAATTTTCTTCTTTTACTCCTTAGAAATTAAAAAGACTACATATATACAAAAAAGGAAATGGCTTTGAGATTAGAGCTACCTGATTCTAGGTTAATTCACAAGAAGATAACATAGACATAAAACAAAGAAAATGACATTTTTTGTAAAGGCCTATATAATTGTAGCAAAACAAAAAGCATCTTTATCCAGCTTATGTAATTCATGATGACTGTTTTCTTTGCTTAATTGTTTGTTGGTATGAACTGTGATTAGATTTGGAATGGGAAAGTAATCTATAAGAGGTCAAGGTTTACACCTGGGGTCTCTGTTCACCCTCTCCACCTGTCTGGCGAGCACCCCCTCTCACTCTCCATGGGATCTATACACTCTCCATGAGGTCTTATGCTTGTAGTTGTTTAATTAATTTATGTGTTGTCTATCTCTTCCCTGAGACTTTAACCATCAAGGACCATGGGTGCCTTGGTCAGTGCTGTATCCCCAGCACCAAGCCTAGTACCTAGCACGTAGCAGGTGTCAATTCTTAAATAAACAAGCCAATCAATCAATCACTTTACATGGGCTTCCATTTACAACAAAAGCTGACAAAAATGGCTATTTTTTTTTTGATGGATTCACCCTGAGCTAACACCTGTTGCCAGTCTTCCTCTTTTTTTTCCCCCCCAAAGCCCCAGTACATGGTTGTATATCCTAGTTGTAAGTCCTTCTAGTTCTTCTATATGGGCCGCTACCACCACATGGCAACTGACAGATGGGTGGCGTGGTTCCGAGACCGGGAAGCCAACCCAGGCTGCCAAAGCAGTGAGTACCAAACTTTAAGCACTAGACCATCAGTGCTGGCCCCAAAATGACTATTTTTAAAACGAGTTATCTAAATAAAAATACTTGTATAGTATGCCTGTATGAGGAATAGAAATCTGAGACTTACAAAGCTATGGGTCTCATACATGCCATTGCTGTCCCTGGCCTTCCATGTGTCATTCACGTGCTTCACCAGAGCACATTTCTGTTCACCATTTACCCTGATACACATTATTTCCATCTCCTAAACCCACTCCCTAAAAATAGTCCTTAAATCACAGACTTTTTTTATTTGCTTAAAAAAACACAAAAGGCTTGAAAAGCATCTCATTTTTAATGACAGTATTTTCTAACAACCAGATGTAGTTAAAAACTAAAATTTCCCAACTATCTTTCCATTTGTTGGCCAGAGACAGCTAAGAAGAATTAGGGACAGAACAGAAGACATGGGATGCAGACGAGACACGAGAAGAAGCTAAGTTCCTAGGATGGGACACGCTGGGTTACAGCAGAACGTTGGAAGGTTCCACTCCCCGACCTTTACAGCCTTGCGTGGCTGGCCAATGCCCACTGATTTTCCACAGCTTAATACAGAACACTTACTAGCCAGATTGAGTTAAACTCTTTCCAAAGAGATCCACTGAAATAGTCTTACCTCTGTTTCTGTGAGAAGTGTTTTTAGTCTTGTCAAATCTTTTGTTACCATCCCATTCTGAAAGTGTGAATGAAAAAGGGAAAAATGGATTAGTATATTCGCTCTTTACTATGGGGACTTAAGTCAATTTCTCAGCTGTTTCTAAGCTTTATCTGTCAAAAAAAAAAAAAATGCTATCCTCATCTCCCATCCTCACTACCATTAATGGTGATAAAAAAGCTAACCATCCACAAGGAAAGTTAAAACAGTTAACAGAACAAAACACGCAGTGTGCCCTAAAACACTGTATTCACGTTGCATAAGAGTTTGAAATCAATTCAATAAAATATTCACAAAGGGTATCACTGAAGAGCAAGACAGGATAAGTGAAGAGAAAAATAAACTTTTTTCCCCTAAAACTAAAGGGCCTATATTTGTAAAACGGTTAACTCAATCAGTTACCCATGACTCAGATTTACATAAAATGATAATACCACCTTAAAGATGGCTCAATTAATAAAACTGTTAAAGGAAAATATGCAAACTATTCACTCTTCTGAAATTCAAATTTCACTTGAGATTTAAAAGTAAATTACTCTTCCTAGTTTAAAAACCCAACAGGTAAAATTGTGTAATATGCTTAACTTATAGAGAAAAGTTCCTTAAGGATAGAATTATCTTAATAATAAAGAAAAAATAATATTCTTTATCATCTATTTAGAACTAAACAGCTCTAGAATTTTGCTATATTAATACCCTTTAGATTTTATATTCATTGGTGAATTTGGTGAAATCAAAAAACATTGTTAAACCAATTAAACAATTCACTACACAGTAATTCCTTAGAAAAACTAAATTACCCTCTGAGATGGGTCACTACATTACACTCAGCAATATACCAAGTACTTTCCTAATTTCTTTTTTTTAACCATAAATATTTATTTGCAATGAAAACACAACTTTGCTCAGATTTTCAAAATGGCTATGAACTCAGAAGAACAAATAAGGTATAGGGAATGCATGCTGTAGAGCAAGTATACATATATTTTCTTGCTTTGACTATTTTTCATCATGATTCCTGAAAAAGGTCAGCAAATTTTGTAACAATTACCAACAGTAAAAAAACGTTATAATACCTCTTTTCTTCCAATTTGTATAGATCGCCAACTCTAAGTTCCAAAAAGTAGTCTTTTAATTATCTCAACCAAAAAGAAACACAAAAAATTCTAGAAAATTAAATGCTACATTAAAAAATTTATCCCAAAGTCTGAATAGAATTAGATAGTTCCTCCATCAGAGTGGTCATGAATATTAATTTACACACATACCATCTTCAGAAATAAAAGTAATTATTACTTAGTTTAGATAAACTTAAATATTTTATAAAATAAATGGTTGAATTTAAGAATCCTGTAAGATCATATGCCCAAAGGAGTATTTTAAAACCTGAAAATATTTCGGCTTTGTTAAATTATCTTTAAAGAAAATCATCTAATTATCCTACACTTTCAAAGCTTTAAAAAGTACCTGCAATTCTTATATCTATTATCACACTACAAGAATCCAATGACTAAACATCAGTTTGTTCAAGAGAAATGAGTATCTCAAGATACTCGTGAACTTTGAAAGGAGGAGGTCAGAGGAAAAATGCACACTAATTTTTCTTCTCACAATATGCCTAAGGAATGAATGAATGAATCTGTTTTCGGACATTCAAAATCAGAGCTAACAACGTACCAGGGACTCCCCTGTCAGTGACTTGGCAAGAATGTTGGATACGGTCTGGAGCTTTCCTTTCAGCTGCATGCAGCAAAGCACTGCCTGAAAGGCACCATCTCCCTTCGCCAGTCCTTCTCCCAGCACTGTCATGAAAGAGCAGCCATCATTAACCATGTGACATGCAACACACATTTTTCTTGATTATAATATTAGCACATATCACAAGCATGACTTCTATGCTAAAAGAATAACTTCAAATACTAGAGGAAAGCAGTGACCTTTCAGTTCTGTCTAACACACACATAAAGACAAGAAAAAACACAGGGCAATCCACACAGCTAACCCACTGCAGCCGAGAGCAGGCTGGATCACACCACAACCACAAGAAAAAGAAGTCATCTCAAAGCTCTCCAGTACAAAATACTGCTCAACCTATGATTTCGGAGTAAACGAGGGCTTTTAAACTGCAGAGATAATCGGTGAGTAAAGTTCTCACATTTTTGACAGTGACACAAGAGACCCAGTGCCATTAAAATGTATAAGAATAGAAACCGCAAATCTCAACACTTGATATTCCTAAACAATTAAGAATTAACCTTTATCAAAACCAGCAAGATTAACCAAGAACTTAACTGTCAAGTGGCCATAGAAAATGCTACTCAAATTATTTGCAAGTGTTTACAGATTTAATTTAATTCAATCACAGGGAGCACAGATTTCTAACAATACAAAATATAATCATTTTTATGCCATGTCATTTGAGATGATTTCTCACAGCAACTGCTAATGGTTCAACTAGTAAAACAAGCTGTATCCTTCTCTTTACTGTTATGTCCAAAATTCTACTTTTAGTTTATACACACTTTAGCTTCCTTTGTAAGAAAATAATTTGGTGAAAGAAAATATTTTGGAAATTGCACTTTTTTCTAATTATTCCCAAGGAAATGTTCTGCTTAACTATAACATACTACATATGTAAAGTCCATTGGATCTATTGTTCATAATTAATTAATTTTGCTTGTACTGAATATATCCTTTTGTTATAATGTTCAATTTTATTACACAAATTACACTATAAAAACTAATAAACTTCTACATGAGAGTTCACCATAAGCTCACCTCTCAAACAGTTTTCACTTATTCACATTCTCTTCCAATTTTTATGAATATTTACAAAATTGTTACATGATTGTAACTGATGTAAATATAACAGTTTGTATTCTGCTTTATTTCCCCTCAGCACATTCAATATTTTCCACGTTATTCCAGCGTTTATATTTATCATATCATTGCCTACATAATGTTCCATCAAGTAGACATATCAATTTATTTAACTATTCCCTTGCTCCAGAACAATTCCAATTTTTAACGACCAAAAGTACCACTGCAATAAACATCTTTATGTATATTCCCTTTATTGAATCAGATTACTTAACTGAAAGTTGCAATCACTCTATATTTAAAAAGGTTTTATTCAATTACTTTTAGTTCGGGCCAATCTGTTGTCTCACCCCATCCATGTTACGTATCATTCATTACTCAACTGTCACTGGATAATTCCAGTAACTAAATAACTCCAATAGAGCATTGTTAAGAATGTCTTGAGCATCTTATAAAATTCCACAGTAAGCCCACATCTCCTTTGGATCTTACTATTCCTAAAACTATTCAAATACGACCTTTGGCAAGTCACTTTATCTGTCTGGCCCTCAGTGTGATCATCTGCAAAATAGAGACGTAAAAATATGTTGTAAGGATCAAATGATATAATGCAGAGGAAAAGCTCTGAAAAAAACGACAGTCCTACTAATGTCTGGACTACTTACATTCACTAATCCTCCTGCCTCCCCTGTAAAAGGCTACCTTTTAATGAGGTGGCAGTAAAGATTAATCATGATAATTATATAAAGTATCTAGCACACTCTCCTAAGAGTTCCCTAGATGTTACCTTCCCCTTATAAAAATTATAAAGCAATACTGACAACTGCAAAGGAAATATCCCAGTTCATTTTCAGTAACTGGGATATTAAGAAACTAGTTATCAGGAAATACAGAATGTTTTGGGGAAATGAAAAAAATCTAAGAATATTTCAACCTCAGGTGATTATATCATGTTTAAAGAGTATTAAACTACATCATATTTTACAAATGCTTTTCAAAGATCTTTGGTTTTATATAAGGTATCTGGTGAATTTTACTTTGTAAAAGTTCTTCCATTATATTGATGTTTGAATGTCAAACATATTTATCAAAATGTTTCCCTCTCCTCTCTCTTTTTTAGACAAAAAAGCAGTACTGATGTACTTTCTTCCAACTGTTGCCTTTAAATACAATTCAGTTTATCTCTTAGAGGATTCCTATGAAGAACTATGACAAAGAAACAGTCAACAATTAGAGATAAAAAGGTCTCACGGGGCAACCTGGTGGCATAGTGGTTAAGTTCAGGCACTCCATTTCAGTGGCCTGGGGTTCGTGAGTTCGAATCCTGGGCACAGACCTAGCACCCCTTGTCAAGCTATGCTGTGGTGGCATCCCACATAAAATAAAGGAAGACTGGCACAGATGTTAGCTCAGTGACAATCTTCCCCACATACACACACATAAAAGTCTCCTACTATTGTATCATATAACAAAATTAAACAGCAATGCTGCCAATCTGGTCCCTTATTATATTTAACATCCTGAAAAAGCTTGAAAGAAAACAAAGTATGGCCTAGTGTATTACTAAACTCGCCTCAACTATAATAATTAAACTTGCCAAAAGAGATCACATTAAAAATATAATCTAATCTTGTGCATTTGTAGAAAAGTTACAATTCCTTGCAAGTAAATCTTCCCACCAACGATCTGCAAAATTATACTGTGGGCACATAACTGTTCCCAAACGGAACTGCTCCTTCCCGTCCACTGCGAGTCACAAAGGAGGAAATCTGAACACCTTAGCTTAAGTTGCTGTATTCAAGTCTCTAGCCCTTCCCATTCTTAAGTTTTTGTAATATTTTCTAATACTTGAAATACGTCTTACTTGGAATGTTTTGGACCAGAAACTGAACAATATTAAAGGAGTTTCAACCAAATAGTCAACCATTTCAACTAAACAGCCTCAGCTAGGGTTTGATAGCCTCTTGCTATCAAAAGGAGAGGATCAACAATTAAAATGTAATTCCCCTTGCTCGTAAAGAATTATCTGCAATGAGAAAGGTAATTTAAAGCAAGCTGAAAGTATAGTAAATGTTGAGTATTATTCTATATTTTTTCAGCAATATGATCATATTAGGTTATTTCTTTTATCAATTCCTTAGTTATTCCCAAAATCTTTTATTGAAGATCTTAGACTAATCAAGGTATTCTTCCAAAATTTTCAAAAGAAATCTTTTAGTGACCATAAAAACTAAATCTTTTAGTCATTAATAAAGTGAAATTATTCACTGCTTGGATATAATTATACTCGCAGAACCAATACTTCAGGAACTGAATCAAAAATAAAAATAGATTCCTTTTATAAATATATAAAATAAATTCCCTTCCTAAATAATAGCCATTTAATTCTTGGCAATAAACTTATTTGCCAAATAGTATATACTTTGGGGAGAGAGGGTCTATAAGCAGACTCTGAACAGTGGAAGGCCTAACTCAAGTTACTAATCAGAAGTTAAAATGTCCATTTGTTACCAGCAACAAAAAGTCTAACATAAACCAGAGTAAGAACACTGTGGTAAAACACTCCAGTGTCCATTTTGCTAAAGTGGAGTTTTTTCCCACCATTCTTCTCCTCTGCCTCAACCCTTTTCCTTTGCTCTCTTTCCTTCCAATCGTAATAAATGCACACTTTCGGCCATGTGGGCTGCAGCTTTTGTGACATCTTAGGCCCTTCCTACCAAAGTCTTTTGTAGATAAAATGTTTCCTTTACAAAATGCTTTTGGAAAATGAAAAGCCCTAACAGTATTCAATGTTAGGGATCACCTAGACCTCTTCTGAATATTTCATCTCCAGCTTTAAACACTGCAATATACTTTTTTTTTTTATCACTACTACCTTGCTCCTTTCAATATTTGGTCTAAATCTGGTCACAAAAGTCTTAGTGATCTCCCTTACAGCCTCCCTGGGTATGCACTGAGCTTTTAAGTTACGATCTTACTGTTTATTTCTGGAAGTGCTCTTTCCTTCAACTGAAATTCATTGTAAAGACTCTCGGACTCCTTCCTTCTGGATATTTTCACACTACAAGAACACAGGTCATTTCTCCAGATTTACTTTCAGTATTCCAGTTTAAATTTTACAGCTGACTCATTAAATGTTCCTCAACTTCCTCATTACTATAAAAATATAAAATAATTATACACCGTAAAAAGCTGACAACACAATTAAGCATAAAAACAAAACTGAAACCTGGTTCCCAGGTCATCGTAAAAGGTTTTTATTTCATCTACATGCTTGAATACTTTTTACTTAAAAAGTTAAAATATTTGCAAAAGTAGCCTGTCCTACACCGTGTATGCATTAGAGAAAGAGAGAGAGAGAAAATTTGCTGTATTAAGTGCCTTCAACTTCCTCTTTATAAAGAATCCTAATTTCCAAGAGGCATTTGCTATATAGTAGCTACAGTAAAGTTACTCTCTGTTAACTGTTCAATAACTGGATTAAGAGGCTTTTTTATAAAAGCAATCAATCTAACTGTACTTTTTAATCTTAAAAATCTTCCCCCACCACCATTTCAATTTCGAAGTCAACCTCTTGCCATGTCCGTTGTAGTCCTAATAGTGGAAAAAGCAAAATTTTTCCCAGATCCTCTAAGGCACTCCTTTACTTCATTGTTTCCATGGTTAATTTGCCTACTTTTTTTTTTTTTTTTAATAATTTGCTTACTGAGAAAAACTGATATTTTGCCTCTGACTATTCTCTTTGCCCTATGGGAGAGAGTTGTATTTTTAGATGTTCACAATAATCTTAATTTTGAGTCTCCCTTTGGTACAGTATTTACTGAGATTTTGTAGAGTACCATTCATTTTAAATTCTTTTAAAATTCTCCTTTTGTGTATAATTTCAGTTAATAAAAAATTAATGCTAACAAATATTTATGCCATGAGTGAAAAAAAACATGAAATACATTTTAAGATGTCACACCTGACTACAGTTGATACC